TGACTGCGACATTATCTCCGTTTCCATCGGCAGCAACACTGGCTACGTCAACTCGGTTCTTTCTCGTGTTGCCAGTGAGATTGCCCAGGATAGACTCATTGTCATCGCTGCTGGTAACTCGGGCGCGATGGGACCGTATTTCGCCAGCTCCCCCGCTGCCGGCCGCGGTGTGGTCTCTGTCGGCTCGGTCGAGGCAGCGCAGACCTTGGGATGGCCTGCGACGATTGTTTCATCCGGCGGCCAGTCTTTAAACATCTCGTATGTCACTTCTGACGGCAACAAGTTCAATAGCACTATTGATGTGCCCATCGTTCTCGACAAGGGCGACTCATGCAACATTGGCGGCTCCGGCCTTGACTCTACCGCTGTTCTCGCAAAACGTGGCGTCTGCGAGCCAGCTGGATCGTACTCCTCCATCGCCAGTGCTGGATTCGGTTACGGAATCCTGTATGACTCTTACAACCAGGGCGCCTACTACATGGCTGACGTTGTCGCTTGGTCTGACACACTCAAGCTTATGGCTGTCACCACTGCCTCAGTTGGAGACTGGGCAGCCGAGCAGATTGCTAAGAACTACACCCTTCACTTGAAGATCCAGGCAGATGCTCAACCGGCTGCTTTCGCCGCCGAGGTCCCCAGCGCTGGTCAGCTCTCCACCTTCACATCGTGGGGTCCAACCTACGAGAACGACTTCTCTCCCATTATCTCCGCACCTGGGGGTGTGGTCTACGGCGCTTTCCCCGACGGCAAATTTGCCATCTCTTCCGGAACCTCGTTCGCAACACCCTACATCTCAGGTGTTGCTGCTCTGTGGTATGCACATGCAAAGAAGGACCGGGCAGAGTTTGTTCGTAGACTTACATCTACTGCTCTGGCTCTGCCTGCTTTTGAATCTATCGATGGCAAGATTCTTGACGAGGTTGCGTCGCTTGCTCAGCAGGGCGCGGGTCTTGTTGATGCCACCAAGTTGTTTGACTTCGCCACCGTGCTTCTTTCCGAGCCGACTCTGTCCCTGAACGACACGGACAACCGTATCAACACTCATACTATCCGCATCCAGAACACCGGATCGGAGGAAGTGACTTACAACATCTCTCACATCGCTGCTTCGACTGTCTCATCTAGAAACAGCCTATTGTATCCCAACACCTACTACCCGCCCTTGGTTTCCGCTGCTGGATCCTTAGCCGAGGGCAAGACTATTATAGTGGCCGCAGGTGCGACTCAGGACATCGAGATCACCCTCTCTGCCCCCGACGTCGCTCCTGATAGCGGTGCTCTGTGGAGTGGCAAGATCCTTCTCGCAGGTTCCAACGATGAGTTGCTGGCCGTGCCCTACATTGGTATCGAGGCGTCGACATACAACTGGACTGCGCTGCATCACGGTCCAGAGTCATACCGTTATGACGATACTGATGGCATCCTGTACCCACTTGACTACCAAGGCAAGGCGTACCACCCTGCTGACGGTGACTCCCCTGAGACCTACTTCGCTTTCCGCTATGGTACTTACGAGTTCTCTGTGGACTTGGTCGGCATTGACTGGAAAACGGAGCAATTCGCGTATCCGCCGCAACACGGCTCAGGCTCGAAAGCTTGGCTTGGCTCTGTCAGATCCCAGCCCCTTGCTGACGGAGGCTACATGGACTTCCCCATGAGGGAGATTGTGCGCTTTAACTTGGGGAGCTACGTGACTTTCCGCTCTTTTGCGAACGGTACTGCTATCCCGTCTGGACGATACCGCATCTTCACACGCTCCCTGCGCATGTTTGGCGACGCTTCCAAGCCTGAAGACTGGCAGCTGTTCCTTTCTGATCCGTTCTCCATCCAACTCGGAAGCGATCCTATCCCGGGTCAGAATGCTACATGGACCTCTAGCCTCCCATCGTCAACAGCTGCTGTGACCACAACCGCTACCGCTGTGCCCACTACATCTTCTGTCCCGACAACGACTGCCCCTATCTCCGTGCCAGGCACAATCACAACACTCACAGCCACCGCCACACCCACCGGTCTCGAAGGCGCCTTCACCTCCCTGAAGCTTCAGAGGCTGAAAGAGGATACAGCCTTCGTCATTGATCCGGCAGCATGGATGGAACTCCACATCCAGATTTCGATGCCGTCACCTGTTGCCGCTGATTCCGTCCTCACATTCGCTGTTCCAGCCGAGATCACCGACATCGCAGAAGGATACCAGCTCTCGGCGTCCGGCGCACAAGCCGGCGATACATCCTTCGATCCGGTGTCTCGGTTATACACAATCGCCCTCGGGGAGTGGACAACCTGGAACAAGAACATGATCGGCGACTTCTTCCTCATGTGCCGCTTCACACCAGAGTTTGCTGCATCCATGAAGCAGGGCACCTACGTCGTGCAGTTCCCTACCGTCGGCAAGGTCTGGGAAGCACCCGTGTACTACACAGCCGTCAACCGATCTGTCATCTACGAGCGGCTTTCTACCGCTCCATACGACGGCACATCGCTGTACACTGCCGAGGTAGAGGTACCTGCCTCCTTGGGACCGTGGGACTTTGTCCGTTTGACCACGTCTCACTCGGCTGATTCCGACGGATTCGTTTGCGCCAACTCTAGCGTGGTGATTGGAGAGACCCTTGATGCCGAGAACCGCATTGAGAGCTTCATTGACGTCACGGCCTCGGCTACAGAAGTTTGCAATGTGAAGAACTTTAGAGCAATGTACAACGAGACGTTGACGGGTGATGATGTTCTTCGGTTCACGGTGGGCAGCATACAGGGCAACCGCGATCAGTGGACACTGAATGTCGTTTATTTGCTGGACGTTCAGCTTGCCAATGGAACCTTGGTGTTGTATGATCAAAGGACGCTCGAGTTTGAGAAGAACCCGCGCTTGAGGTCGTTCAACTTCAACGCTTTCTCTGGCGAGAGGGCCTAAACCATTGTCTCTTTAGAACTTTAGAGTAGATTAATTCCCTCGTTATTGTTTCATAGACTTCATCAACTTGGTATTCAACCTCCGCTTCCGGACAATTTCCCGTTGTGACACCCAACTTCTTCTTACAGTATATCATATCGCCACTTGCGCTCTTCACTAGAAGGAAAACCAAGCTTATCGACTGCGCCTCCGGCCCTTTCAAGCTTAACCACAACCTTGCGTCGTATGAACCCTGAAAACCCGTTTGGCATGTGAGCTGGACTTAGCTGGGGCAGTTCCGAAAGCCAAGACCCCAAATTCACCATTTACATAACAACCTCGTATATCAAACTTTGTGGGTCGCATTCGTGTGGGTGGATTCTCGGACATGAAGAGCCCCATTGAGCAGTCTCGTCCCGGCTCTCCACAAGGATCCTGATTATCAGATGATCTGATTAGATTAGATGGCATGAGGAGCATAACCGCTCCACGCAGGGGACCGGGGGCCAAGGGGATGAGACTCCGCTTTCAAAAGGTTCAGATGGATGTCGGCCGCCCCGCTGAATACGCTCGGAAACCCGCTTCTTTCCGGGCAACGTTGGGGCAGAAGGTTAACTGGCTCTCTAGAAATCGCTCGCCAAGATCTCATCCTTCCAATAGCGCCGGCGATATCGGTGCGCCGTTACAGTGTGGGATGCCGTTTGGCATCTGCTTTCGGATGAAGAGTCTGGGCATTCCGAGGGACTGGAGGGGAACTGGAGACTGGAGAGGAGCTTTGTACAGACTGAGAAGGAAGGTAGCATTTGCCAAGCTGTGATGTTGAATATAAAGAGTCGTGAATGTCCTGAATCAGTATGAAGTCTCTTCTCGATACCCAGCTGCCTTACTCACCTCAAGACTAAGTCTCGTTAAACTCTTCCAAACCTCAAAGCCTACCTCCAAATCATCAGCATGCGCTTCTCCGTCGCCTGCACCGTGGCCTTCGTCGCCTCTCTGGCTTCCGCCAACCCTCTCATCAACCGCAACCAGGGCGGCTGGGAGTTCCCCGAGTCGATGCCCCTCGTCACCCGCCAGGACGTCCCCGCCCCCGGCACGCCCGCCTACCTCTGTCACGAGAACTGCGGTAAGAGCTTTCTCTCCTCCTCTCCCTTTCAACCACCCAATATGACGTTGTCGGGTTGCTGATGATGATGAACTCTAGGTACTTCCATCACCTTGTCCCGCGAGACAGGCTACTGCACCAACTACCAGTGGATCGCTCGCTACGATGCCTGCTTGCAGTGCGCCAACGCCCAGAATGTCTGGCAATACTACGGAAACTCCGTCACTGCTGCGGCTGCTGCCTGTGGCCTTACCGCTGTTCCTGTCTAGACGCATCCATCCGCGCGACGGGTATGAGGGTGGCAAAGTGGCCTAGAAGAGGGCCGGAGTGAATGATTTGAATTTTTGAGCGAGCTGATGGGAAAACGGAACGCATTCTTGACGAGTAAATAATTCAATGTACATATTGTGGCAGAAACATACATCGTGCCGTTCTCCATCTGTGATTACCCGCGGGTCCTTTTCTACTTGCATCGGCTGGCTCATGCAGGTATGTGTTTTGAGACACTTTTTCAGAGATGCTATGCTGGCAGCTTTGGTCTTTGCCGGAGTGTCATGTCCGAGTTGACCTCGCTCTCTACCCATGGTACTCGTTTCGGCGGCCGCTTCGGATGCAACATATGATTTATGCAAGGAACTCATCTTAACTTTAGATGATAGAGGGTTCAGCTAACCTAATTGGACAATCAATATGTACAGATAGACAGCTTAGAAGGAAAAAGCTTTTTACATCGTCTCTTGAGTAGGGTACTTGGTACCTAGTACAAACATATCGTTGCTGGTAGTCTTAAACTAAAGCACGGTGGAATCCTTCCTTATCAAAGGGATATATAGTTGACGTAAGTACTGCCCGCACTGACGGCCCTGTTTTTGTGACATTGGTCAGTCTTGCTAATTGAAGATCCGGAGTTTCAGTCAGACCTGCATGTGCTGTTAGACTACATCCACAAGATGGAAACCCCGGCACCTCGTTGTTCAGGAGATTCCAGATTGAACTTTGTATGAATCAAAAGAACGATAGTACAGAATGAATAAAATAGTGTAGTGACCATCCCTGAAGCACTTCATTCGATAACCCGCTCTTAAGAAATTTGAACCCGATCTCGGGTTGACCTCGTATGCCCGAGGATCTTGATCTAAAGTTCAGGTGGACACATATTGCTTTTGCCACAATTGTAATCGTCTGAAATTTTGGGCCAATATTTCGTTCTTTAGTTTGCCGTTTCATAGACTCCGAACTTGAACATGGCGACAGAAAGCACGATTTTTGGATCGGTCTGGGCCTGGCGCCGGCTGAGCGGTTCGCATTCCTTGCACATGTAGATCTTGGAGCAAGAAAAGAAATGGGGCCAACATGAGACCGTGTTGGCTTAATGGCTAGCTGGTGGCTGTCAAGGTAAGGACAGCTGTAGGTAAGATGACCATGAGAGGGGTTTGCTTATTCGAGGTGGCGACCCCGACCCCTAAATTCGATGTCGAGCGTTGCCAGGATGATGGGGAGGGGATGCTCACAGATGTAGCGTCTGACCACACCGTCCGAGGGTCGGCATCCTACACCGTATTCCAATAGGTCGGGTGGCTAGCTTGCATCATTTCATCCATTTATCACTGTCGATGCGTCAAGTTAGCTGATATGAAGTAGCCCAGTAAGCTCCCGGGATGCTATGCGCAATGCACGTTCAATCCTACCAGCCAGCATGACACGAGAACCCTCGGCTTCATCACGTACCACAATTGACATATCTCTCTGGAGATTTCGTTGTAGATTGGTAGTTTGTAGCATCCAGAGACACGGCCTCAAGTTTGGTGGGTTGAGTATCTAGAAAAGGCTGGCAAGATTCTTAGTTCTGACTCTGGCTAGCTAAGTCAGTATGACAGATCCAGGCTCAAGCGTGGCCCTCACCGAGAGAAAAGAAGACATCACCGTTATGGTGACCAGGATCTACATACCAAACACCTCCATATTTCAACTGCCGATGGCCCATTGCTTAGTGAATGTACCTACCGAAGCTTATATCAGTCCATGTCCCAGCCACATGTAGCCTTGTGAGACACTGTGACAAGGGGAATAGGTGATGAAGTTCCAGCCAGCCACCGACCGCTGACCACGTTGTCTATGAAGCCCATTCAATTATGCGTCCATGGGGTTCCCAAGGAGCGGTAAAGATTGCATACCTACGCTAACACTGTCCGCAGGAAGTGTGGCTGAGACAACAGGAATTTGATGTGGTTGGTTTGGATTGAGAGTGATTTTCAGGACAGCCGGGAAACTTCCGCCTGCTTTTCCCAGGAAGACAGGAGTTCAGGTTCCAAGTGCGAGGGAGCTGAGAGTGACGAGACCACGCTGTTTGAACCATCGAATCCTAACCCTGATAATCCTGGTGCAAGGATCATAGCTGCAGCACATGGCTGGTCACGCATGTAATAGGGGCTCAACTAAGTCGATATGCCATTGACCAGCTGTCAATGTTTGTACTCTACGGACTCTTGGATTGGAATAATATGTGGTTTGAGAGAGCAGTGGAAGCACTTACATAGTCTGTGATATTCCATAGAGATGATGTCTGGTTGATGGACTGATGCTGATAAGCTCAGCAAAGCGTCCGGTACAAGCAGGCAAGCGGGACGTTGACCCCTCATCTTACCTGCTGAAGGCAACTCTACAGTACCGTATACATGTACTTACCAACCCTTTGTACGACACCAATGCTTGACCGAAAGGAAAGACCTGCAGTTTCTGGGGGCTGGAAGGGAGGGGGGCAAAGAGTTGCTTATCTATCCCTCCAATCAGAAAGATCACCGTCTATTCATCGCGCACGTCTGCCATCCACCGCTGTTACCCCGGAAAAGATCACCCAATGACGAGTGCCGGAGACCATTCCGGACTTAAGGCTCTTGCAGATCTTTCTCGGAGATATAACCATGAATGGTCTAGAATGTAGCCAGATTTTCTTTCTCGATTTTGGGACGATGGCACTGGGCGGCGTTGTCGTTGCTCCAGTACATCTGAGTACAATCCTGTCCCTTGCTCTCTCAAATCGATGGAACTAGCCTGGAGACCATTGTGAATGGTCTTTGCAGAAGGTCTAGACCCTTCCGTTGTTCTTTACGCCCTCGCAAATTGTAGCGATCGTATTGGAAATGCAACATGCACTAAGATCGCTCTCCCGACTTTCCTATTGGACTTCATTCTCGCCCAAATTCGCCATTTCTTCTTCGTTTCCCACATGCTACGCCCTCCCTCAAACCGCCTAGACTAGGCACATGTCTCCGTAGTAAACAGAGCTTCCCCCCCTCATTTAGAGATTGTCACTGCTGGCTTGAAGTGCCGGTGGGTGCGCGCTGGAATGCGAGCCCATGATAGGGCGAGGCTGATCTGTCGCTCAAACTGTCAGTCTAGGGAGATGTGGCCAGGCTTCATGTTGGCTGTGGGAGACTACAAGATCAATTGGTATCTCTGTCTGAATACCAACGGTCAATAATGGAGGAGCGCTACATGTACATTAGGCAGCTCGCAAGTCACCAGCAGCAAGAGTAGCGTCGCACTGCATCGCTTCACGGCTGTTGACCTGCGGCTGCATCCGCGTTAGGGGCAAGGGTCTTCTGGACTGTGACTCTCTGCGGGGAAAGCCTGTGAACCCGTACCTAGCAGTGACACACATTAAGAAGCGGCCGCCTGAGCTGATCCTCAAGCAGGCAAGCAGCGGCTCCAAGCCAACTATCACCCGCCGCCTACATGGGATCTCATAAAACCACGGAAAGTCCAAGCCGGCGGACAACGAGAAACGATCTCGCTCGATCCCCATGATCGCCATGAGTCTCGAGCGATGTGAGAGTTGATAGCAAGACGCAAAGCTGTCAGAACTTTGTGGTGATAAACCAGTGAGCACGCGCGGACTCGATCAAAACGACTGGGAGATCACAAGTACACCGAATCCTGCCGGGAGGACCAACCTGATTGCTGTTGTAAGTTATTACCCCCTTAGACGTTGACTGACGCTAGCGCCTCTAACTTGTAGAAATAGGCTATGGCCAGCACCGTTCAACCAAAATTAACATCGAAGAACAGAAACCATAGTAAACCAGTAATCTTCACCAAGGAATCTTGCGATATTTGTCGACAACAGAAGGCTAATGTAGATTTATGGACAAACTTTGCAGGTTTACTCCTGAGTTTAGTCTGACTGAAATACAGTGTGATGGCGAGCAACCTTGCTCAAGATATATCTCTTGCGGAGGACACTACAACTACGATATTCGACCGCGGGACAAGCTTCAACCCGGACTTCAAGAACCAGCAGGCCTTGAGAATCAACCTCGCGTCTTTCTGGAGGCCTTTACATCGCTAAGCCCAAAGCCACCCCAGTCTTGTTTGGACTACGGCGTCCAGTTTGATACGGTCCACGAAAGCATCGACTGTCGCAACATCCTTTTGCCCTCAGATGCTCTTGAACAAATCCCCAATGACAAAGACAAATCGCTTATGATGCTTCTACCAACCACCTCGCTGGACACCAAGCTCAACCACTCTATCGCTTCACCTTGCGAACCCATAGAGAGCGTCCACGACCAGGTATCTGTAGCTTACCAGGCCCCATCATGGGGTGGAATACAATCTTACGACTCAATGGTACGACGGTGTTCTACGAATCCATTTGATGTACAGGTATCGCCGAGGGATATGACTTACTACAACGATACAATCTCGAGCTCTAGTACTCCGCGGTCAAACAGCATGGACGGAAATGCGATATCCGTGGATTCAAATGCACTTCACGGAAACCTCTGCAATACTCAGCCCACCATAGAGTTTGGCCCAGTCGACTGGTGGACTTCAACTAATCTCCAACCTACAACACCATACTTCCCTCTAGACTCTGGCATGGATTCGACTTTCTGGGACTATTCCAATGCTCCCGGTTTGTTGCAGCCACGCATGCCCATGGTCTATTCCCTCCCATCTACTACACAATCCCCGACCAGCATCAATTCATCCTATGGATTTACATCTCCTGCGAGTGGAGAGACTACAGGTCGTCAAAGTTTCGCTTCTAGCGAAGGAATGGACGAACGAGAAGTTGACGAGGAGCGTGCACCTCCTAACAAGAAGAGAAAGTCGAACAACGATGTTGTCGAGAAATTTCAACAAGCGCCTGGCAAGCCAGTCTTGCAGAGGCGCCATAGTACTATTCCCGCTACACAGCCGCCGGCTCTCGGCCGCGAACGTCATAGGCGAGCGTCGGCCCGCAATTGGCAGAAGCAGAAGCAGCAGAGTGCCGACCTCGAGTCAGCCAAAGATACCGCCGAGGCTCGCAATCGGGAACTTCACCAAGAGCACTCGAAAATTCTGAACCAGGTCATGAGCCTCAAGAACGCTCTCATGGATCACGCCGAGTGCAACCACCCGGCTATCAACGGGTGGCTCCGCTGCCAGGCGGCTAATTATGTTCTCGCTAAGGGTGGATCAGTCGACATGGGATGGAAGGGTGAGGTTGAATCTAATGCGGGTGAGCTGGCGATGACGGGTTACACTCCGGGCTGGACTGGGACTCCATGTGCTTGAAAGCCATGGTGAAATACCTCACGAGAGGAACCTTCATAATTTTAGTAACCCAGAGCTCATCTTGGGGTCCTTCATGATCTAGTTGCTTAATTTTTAGCCTCTTTGTCAACCTGAGCAGTGTAAGTGGTGACGGGTTGGAATCCAGTGCTGGTCAATTTCGTCGTTGGCCTTGAGCCCATATCCAGTCTCGTGGGTAATACTACAGCCTCGAACATCAGAAGAGCCAACGTTGCCGAGCCGCAGATTCAGCTAATCTAACCCTCAGAATTTGATACGAATTATGCTTTGTGTTAGTTAAGGCCATCTGCTAAAGACTACATTCCCGCGATAATATCGAGAAGCAATGCGTAGGACATTTGAACCCTTTCGGCTTCCTGGAACAAAGCTTGTTTCTATAACCGATCTTATCTACCGAAACTGATACTCATCCTTGTCCAGGTGATCTGAAGGACAGTAATACTACCCTCACCATCCCTGTGTGACCAATCGAGTTTATCGTTCAACTGATAGACTCTCGACGGCCCCGTATCCGGTGACCCTGAGTTTGATCTTCAGAGCAGCGTCATCCTGGCGAATTGGTGAGACCTAGTGATCAAATCCTTGAACACAGTTCACTTCACACCGATGCCTCAAATTAAGACGAAAACTCCGATCGTGGACGCACACCTTAGCAATTTGAGCACCTAAGTGGAACTCACGATCAAGTCGAGGGAAGTTGCGGGGGCAGCAAGATGCAACTCTTTCATAGGACAACACGAAGAATTATCGCATATCACGGAGGGTAACATAACATTAAAATAAACCCAAAACTCCTGGTATCCATGACCCGTCGTAAGACGTCTAAATAATCATAAATCTCGTAGCCCTTCATATGGCAGCAATGGGGAGGCTTTTCGTTGTTATCGTGCTTTCCACCGGTGCCTTCGTTCCGCCTGATGTTTTTCCCGTTATTTTTTGCCTACCCCATTTGCCAATCGGTTCACCAGCAAGCCACCCAGCGTAGCCTGAATAGTATCCTTTTTGCTTCCGCCACCGTCTTTTGAGCCGTGCTGCCCATTGGTATTGTTATTGAATGCCGCGATGGCAGCAGCACCAGCCGCAGCCGTCGCCATCCTCGTTCCCTTCTGAGACCAGGACGTCTTTTCCTTCCTCATCCTCCATGCCTCACTTGCGCCCGCCACGACGGCGGCGGTAGCGGCAGCCTGTATAATTGCAGCCTTGTCAGAATCGTTGCGTTCTGGTCCTCTCGATGACCGAGAAGTCTTGCTATCCTTCCGACGACTGCTGCTGCTCTGCCCATGGCCTCGTCGACGAGGCCTATCATCTCCGCTGTCGGAGTACTCAGCGTATGTATCGTGCCTTCGGGCAGGAGGCCGACCATAGCTCTCCGAACGGGCGCGGGCAGGGCCGACGGGGCTGTAGGAATCGTGGCGGCGAGTGCTGCGCCGATGACCACCGCTGGCCTCGTACTCATGTGCACTACGAGAAACGCGGCGCGAGGCCCTTGGGCGCTCGTAGTCGTCATAGTATGGGTCGTCGTCGTAGACAACGCGCTCTTTGTGGTGACGTTCCTGGCGTGGCATGACGGGCGGAATCTGATACGGATCACGATCAGCACGTGGGATGTGCCTGGACTTCGTTTGACAAGGGCCGGAATGGGAAAGGCTCGGGACGCGGGGGCGTTGCGGAGACGCAGGCTACCGATGAAGCCGCTCGCTTTGGTCCCTCTTTAGTCTGGATAGTGACGAGTTGACTTTATTGCGCCCGGGGGCTGGAAATGCACGATCAGATCGATAGAAGCGCTGAAAGAGCCAGGGTGGGGAAGAACAAGACGGTTGTGGAACGTCGGAATTCTTGGTGTTATTGTCGTGGATCATCCAAATGTTTTGTGTGAATAAGGAAGAAATTAAAGCACGGAAGTGAAGGCAGCATTGTCAGTGGGGAGTTATCTGATTATGAGATAGCAAATTTGCTTGCTTCTGGACACTGGAACTCATACCACCGGGGGAACCTTGTATCACTGGGCACTCGTTCTGCTGGCACTTGGTACCCGACTCGGCAGGCTGAATCTTGCTTTCAAGGCTCGCCCCAGAGTTTGCCGGTTGCTTTTTGGTGAAGGGGGGTGATGTAAGAGTTCGAGACGCCCGAGGATCATTGCTGTTTCGGTGCGCAGCTGAGGTGTGTTGGGGCGACGGGAGACGTCAATATGATGCGGCCCGCGCACCCGTTTCTGCTGCCCACTTGAGCGAAACACGACATGATGTCAGACCGATCGTGCGCAGGGAGTTTATTTCGGTGAGGTCTTCAGTTGGTTCTAGGCCTTGAGGGATCTCGGTGAGTAGATTGGTCTATGGTTATCCTCTATGACCAGACCTTTGGGTAAAGCCGGTAATCAACCCTCCATAGCCATAGATAAGTCTGTTTTAACCTAGAATCATTTCAAAAGCTCTAATATGCCTCTCTTACGTTTGCTATGGATTTATCCCCTAGCTGAACACGAGTTCGAGAGCACAAGATGTTGAGGAGTGATAGTGCGATATCAGCTATACCGGTGCGGCCCCCGCACTCACCGAAAATAAAGTCGGGGGCTGGGCTTCCACCGAATCCAAAAAGCATCATGACTTTCGTCCATTGTCCAATCGGGTTTCATGCGATCGATCAGGGACGATCGATGGGGTTCAAGACCCGGGAACGAGGCTGAAGCGAAGGTGACTACCGGTACCCGTACGAATACCTAGTAGTCTTATTTGGCCACACTCCCATGCTAAGAGCACCTTAATGAGGCGGCTGGCGCTCGTTGCCATAGGCTCCATCATTCCATGAGACTAAGATAGATCTGTCAACGCGCGCCAGGCGGCTAGACCATCGCTTTGAGATGCTTGCTGCAATCAAACGTGGCGCCGTTAGCTTAAGGGGGCCATCGGACACTTTGCTCCATGTCGCGTGCAAGTCGACTTTAATTGATTTCTGCACGGTGGTTATGCGCCAGGGAGGTCGGTGCCCCTTTGATGCGCGTTTCTACGCGTAAATGACAGCGTCATAGACTTACAGACAATCTGTGAGCTCGACAATGATCTCAACATTCGTTACTATGGTGTTTGCAGCTTAGATCGCAATTATGATTGTTGATAGTGAAGAGGGATTTGTATATGAACTGAGGAAAGGGCCCTGAACATGTGGTGGAAGAGTCGCAACTCATCAACATCAATAACAACAACAACAACAACAACACTCTACAATTACAAAGCCTAGCAGACGGCAACCTTTTCCATCAACACCCTCAGTTTGCCATAACATCCCCAACATCACTATGTCTTCCGAAGCCCCCACCGGAGATGTTCAGGACAACGAGTACGTGTCCCGCCAGGGTGACCGTGAGCCCATCAGTGTCCTCGGCGACGATGCTAAAGTCGAGGACCCTATTGATGCTGAGACTGCCAACTCCGATGCTCAGCTAGGTAAGTCCAAGTTCGACCTCACTGAACGTAGCATGAATTCCTAACGTAGTTTACAGAGCGTGATGATAAGGAGGCCATCGATAAGAACAACATCGTGGAAGGTCGTACCCGGGGTGCTAAGCCTACTGGCGAATACCGCGAGCCCGGTGACACCGAGGGGTTGGAGGATAAGCGTCTTGAGTAAATCACTAGCGATCACATTTGGAGCGGGCGGCGTTCGGATTAGGAGCTGTATGATTAGTGTTTGAGACAATTGACTGATAAGTTGAAGTTGATGTTTTTACAATTTTTACATATACATGTAAACTCGAATCAATCGTTAAAGCCGAAGTTCTGATGTCAAGCGGTGTTGTCATGTTTCGACTCCCTTGAGTCAGCGATTATGGCTTCAGTCGTGCTTAATCAACAAGATTACACTGTTCCAACACACGCCCTCAACATAATTACGACCGACCAAGGTTTCGAGTTATTAGGAAGTTCCATATGTGGGTACATGCTGGTAAAGATAACATAACACGTGAGCAGTAGTTTCAACCATGGCGGCTTCAACCATTTTCTAGCTATCTATGGGCTATCTATGGGCGAAGGCTTTAATCGATCGGCCCTGAGTGACCGTGCTTTGTGCTAACCTTACGGTATCGAATAACCTCATGACCTTCCTCGTCATAAGTCCTCTCGGCCACGACCTTATAGCCACCAATAGCGGGGAAGATCTTGGTCCAGAAACCCCAGTATACACCGCCAAGAAGGAGCACGCCCACCCCAACAATTGGGAAGACGTAGTACGGGTAACCTTCTGCAGTCCACGATCCCGTGGGTGGGATGAAGGGAACGATGCAGAGGAACACGTTGGCAAGGACATAGAGGATGGTGATGGGGAAGTAGGTGTGCCAAGGTGATATCCAGTTCTCTCTCTTGTTCCATTGGAGGTAAAGGAGACCACTGGTTGTGATGTTAGCTGATATTCAATGAAGTAAATCTCCCAGGACAACTTACATCCCAACAAACGCGTTTATCCATGCGCCGGGATATCTGTTTATGTGTCAGTAAATACTTAGTTGTTACTCAACTTGAGGGACTAGACATACGTGTAAAGATCTGTAATGAAGTTGTAAGCTGGCCCTGCAGGAGGGGCGACAAGAACGATGACAGTAACGATCCAATGGAGGAAAAGCTAGTAGTGTATTAGCTTGAGAACATGTGATGCAGATTCTGGGCACGTACGGCTGCAGCCGGAGCATTGAATGGCTTGTTGGATGCCCAGAAGGTGCTGAATGGCAAGAGGCCTTCCTTTGCCAACTCTTGGTTCAGCCGAGCATGGGCGAAACTGACGGCAAGCACATTTCCCAAGTTGCTGATGGCGACAAACGCTGGAAGAGCTCTGGCACCGGCACTGTTACCAAAGACGTTGCGGAAGAAGACACCTGCAACAATGACTTCGGACGTGGCGAGCTCGGTCTTGGGGATGGCGGCAAAATACGCAACTAGAAACCACGGTTAGTCGACGAGCAAAAAAACCCCACGATTTTGAATAGTCAAGTGAACCCACCATTTGCAAGGACGTAGAGAATTGTCACGCCGCCGATGGCCAGAGGTGCAGCAATAGCCAGAGTCTTGCGCGGGTTCTTCAGCTCGCCCACAACGTAGTTGGCATTCTCCCAGCCCTTGTAACTGTAAATGATGCGAAGCAGAGCTGTCGCGTATCCATAGACACCACCGTTACCGTAGCCCTCTCCCTCTTCGATTCGGAAAGCATTGTCAAAGTTGTGGGGGTTTGGCACGCGACGTCGGCCAGCCAAAGCGGCGAACCCGGAGAAGACGATGAAGAGTAAGACAATGACCTTGAAGACGCCCAAGACATTGAATAGACGAATACCCCATTTAGGTGTAATAGCGTGGATGCCGACGGCGAAGGTGGCGCCGGCGATACCGATGCCGCGGGCGGTCCAACCATCCGGGGACTCGGATCCCGATGCGAATAAGATGTATCGGCCGAAGGCAAGGGAGTTTCCGGATGAGAAGCCGAGAAGAATCATCTGCGAAGCGAGCACGCAGGTCGCTAGGTATTTAGGGTGCTTGTAGGCGCGCTCGAGGTAATTCTTTTCGCCGCCGGATCGAGGGATGGCGAGGCCGAATTCGAGGAAGACGCTCATACCGCAGAAGGTCAGGACACCACCGATGACCCATAGCATGAGAGCGACGCCGACGGAGCCAGTTGACTGGAAGATACCGGAGGGAGTAGAGAAGACTGAGAAACGGGGTGTGAGTGCTATCCTCATCGTGATCGACCGTCTGTTACTTACTACCGGTACCGATCATCTTATTTAGAATGAGGAAGACCGCGCCAGTAACACCAATCTTGCGCGACTCATCGAAAGCGTAAACTTCCTGCTGTTTGACCACTCCTACTTCTTCCGCCGAAGCATCGTCACGTACGACGTGCCTGTCCTCCCCGACATGATGATCGTATTTGAGTGGTGAACTCATAGCTTGCTGTCGGCGCGGGAAGTGAGATTCGGCCGAGCTCGAGTTCTTGTGATATACACGGCTTTCACGTGCTGGCAAGCACTGCCGGTAGGAGTTCCAATGAAAGAATGTGTAGAGCTCCAAGCTAACACAAGCGGATCGGCAAGCGGGCGGTTCTTCGAGAGGCCGACGGGTGCTATATATGTGTCCCTGCCTCGCAGACAGCTAACGGCTGCAATGCTGCGTTGCTGCGTCGCAACCCAAGACAAACGGTGAAAGTGATCATCCCAGGCTTTGCAGAAGTCCCCGCACGTCATGGCACTGTAACGTCACGCAAGGTTCGACCTGCGAACCGACTCGCTGCCTGGTACCACGAGGGCGGCACGGCGGGACACCAAGGAGTAGACGGGCGAGAGAAAGAGCACTCAAGGTTAATGAAAGCGACCTATCGAGGTTCGAATATTGATGAGTCTCGGGGGTCACCGTAGCTCTGACGAACCAGATCTTGCGGAAACCACAAAATAGCCTCATGAGCCAACATCCATTGCTCCACTCCAACCAGCCAAATCTTAAAAACTTTGCGTGCTTCCAGAAGGAATCGAGCATGGGTGTGGTCTCGGGGGTACTCACAATACGAGGTGACGGTCGGTATAGCTTCTCAAGCTCCTTGAGCTGCCTCTTGAGGCTGAATCGTCATAAATGCCGGCAAGCTCGCGAGGATAACTTCAGCCAGTTATCAGTGCTGTTCCACGCCTTGAGAATGCGTACCTGTCTTGGAGTGGCCAGGTCAAGTGAGATGAGCATCGCCGCCAAGAGAGCGTCAGCAGGCTGGGCTGTCTGGGCAGCGGCGAAGGCAGCTAGAGGTTCAGTGACTTCAGTTCGAAGGCCTTCCAATTATGGAAGGTCGTTTGGGGCCTCTGAACACGGCCCTTATTGTAAGTTGCTTGGCAGTCCTCCAGAAATGGGTGAGAGCCTGGGGGCCCCAACTAAGACAGCAGTGGAGTCAGTCGAGGGGGGCTGATCGTTTGCCCTGCGGTGCGGCGTTGTTGCAGTGCCAAGTGAACCGGTGGTGAGAAAGAGGAAAGCCAAAGGGATTTTGTTGATGTCGTGCTCGCTGGGGTGGGATGGCGACAGTTGTTGGACCGAGACGTGCCGATGGGCTGTCTTTTTGTTTTGTGCGCTAAAACCTCGAATACCCGCTGATGTGCAGCGTCCGCCCCAGCTTATATCAACTCTAAATGAGTGCCTTATTTTCGACAATCGAATTGAGTAGCATCCATGCATTCTGTCGTGCGTGCTACCTCAGTTGTGACCTCTTCTTTCTCAGCCTGTGAATTCGGGCAGACTTCGTTGCGTACTTAAAGCACTTAAGCAGAGTACCTAGGATGACTGTATCTCAGTGGGTAGACTTTATCTCGACTTCAGGCAACTCGAGTCACCAACTCGCCTGAGACAACATACACTAAGGTAACGTTCTATCTAGTCAACTACTGGAAGTTGGAGTGACACATGCACTGTCTCATCTTTTATCGCTCAGGATGGTGATCTACTTCTTCCATTCATCCTCTATCTGCAGATGCCCATGATGCCCTTCGTATCGTCTTTGGCTCTTACTGTTTCGTCTTGTGCACAGCGTCTAGTCGTTATGGTGGCCCCGCCCAACTAAACGATCCGAACTAGGTGTCGACCTCCCTCATACTTTACGCACGGCAAGGTACTCTCTTCCGCATTGCTTGCTAGCAAGCTCTCTCTCAACTCCTTGCCCCAACCGCGGGCGATTCCAATGCGACGAAAGGTGCCGTCTTTTCCATTTTTAAGCTGCAGCAATAGCATGTAGATGCTTCCGTCATTGCCTGGTCTTGTTCTGGCTGGCATACAGAATAGTTCCGGTCGATGGTTCTGTGTGCTGACCCATTGCTGGTTGTCATCGAGATAAACGTGTGGTTGATATTCTTTCATGACTGAATCAGCGCGGACACTGACCGAAACGCCATCAACAATCATCATCAAGAACTCGTAGTTGTTGCTATGACTGCTGAACAAGGCATCGGGCAGAAGCTCAAGTTTCTTGAGGCACCCCCAGAGCTGTAGCCACCCACCGCTGATCAGGCCTGTTGTATCGCTTGTAACATAGTCGAGATGTAGATCCTGTACCTCGATCAACATTTCCACTGCTTCGACGTCCATGATACCCGGAGTAATGTGTCCATCTACCGCCGCCCAAGACCAACTCGGGGCCCGGTAGACTGATGGCCTGGCTTGCGCCTCGCCGACAGCGACAGACCACATCAGTTGCCGCTCTAGATAGCGGCGCCACATCCCTGCAGCATAGCTATCCTGAAGTAACACTCTCATAGCCTTCGCGACCGCTGAAAGTGCAATCAACTTATCGCCGGGGAATGTCAACTTAGCTCGAGTGTAGGTATTCACAATGTTGCACCAGTAATGGTACTTTGACAGATCGCCGTGATCCCGGGGTCTCCAACCCATTTGGTTGTGACAAAAGCCCTTGAACCGACTGGGAAATCGAGTTAGATCTATCAGTAAGCCTTCCGGATAAACCTCAGCGTCTTCTTTTTGATGGCACTCCCATAGAATCTGCCGTTGACCAAAGTAAAGCACTCTAGGAGAGAGGAGTCTCTCTTGGAGCACCCAGGCTCTTGTGTTGATGACCGCGCTGGAGACTTCTGTCCTCCAGAAGTTATAGTCCATCAAGAGAAAGCGATTAGTTTGTGAACCAACAGGAAGCTCTACAATCTGCGAACACAGAGCATCGGGATTGCGGTCGTGAAAGAGGGAGTGGTTCGCGTCTGGGGCATCGGCCGCTGAGATGTTGACAAAGGACCCTGAGTAGATCTTGTCCATGTGCATTGATTCGTATTTCCAGTCAACGAAGTCATCACCGTGCTGAATAATACATAGGGAGTCAATCCACAGGTACCGAATGTTAAGGCGCCGACTCGTTTCCATGGCGTCACGGTACAGGGGAGGGAGGGTGTCGAATGCGATTTCCTGCTGTAGTTGTGCATAGTTGCTTGTTGTAAGGTTGAAAGACTCCTTCGTACCCCAACAATGGCTAAGTGTCGCGTAAGAGCCTTGGATAGGGGTGATGTTCGGTAGGACGAGTCGGCAACTTGAGCTCTCCTGGTCTAGAGGTCCTGTATCCAGGAGGCGACTGGGGTACCACTGCGTAGTGGTAGATGCATTTGGTTTGGCACCGCATTGTGGGTGTTCAGCTAGACATTCCGTAATCCATCTCTGTGCGACATGAAAGGTTCCTTCGGATCTTGTACTACGGGAGTGGGATTTGATTTGGTATTGAGACGCGTAGGCTATGTCTAAGATCAACATCCGAGGACGCATACTTGGAGTCATGAGGTGTTATTTCGCAGCAGGTAAACATACATTCTTGTGGAAGAAGCAGAACAGTTGCGCGGAAAAATCCTTTCCTTGGATTTCTCTCTAGATCCATAACTTGGCCTCGGTCAAAAGTGAGTTGTAGTAAAAAGGCGCGGGGATATGCGAGTGCTGCTCCGTCTTCCCAAAACACCGAAGTGAGAGGTGACTCGGTTGCTGGAGTCTTTCGTTTCGTCGGTTCACCATTTGATTGCCTGACCTTGCATCGCTCTTCGATATCCAGAGCGGCCCAAAGTCGATTGCAAATATAACATCCAGCGTCCACAGAGGCCGTCAGACTTGTGCTATCGCGGTGGTGTGGTATGGGGGGATCCGCGCCGTCTCGCTCGTTACTGGTCAGCGCGTAGTCCTTCCTGAGCTCAAGGACGTGGCGACAACAAGAGCAGATCATCTTGACGTCCTGAGCTTTGCAACTTTGCAAAGTTGCTTCTGATATTAACGTCCCTGACGAAGACCTATGGCGAAAATTGTCAAACGGCTGCGGTCTATGGTTCAGCTTTATCGCTTGAGCGCGTCGATAACATGCGAACTGTTATCTTGTTAAAGATTGTTTGCACCCCTAGGCTGCCACGTTGCATACCCCTCGCCATTGGGTGGCTTCAAGATGGGGGATCAAAAGACATCAGGCGAATCATGTCCTTAGGATGATTCGAAGGAACATCAGGTGGGAATCCACAGGCATGTCGTAGGTTTATCTTCTTCCATTTCCTTCAAGGAATGGGCCCCTATGGTTGCATGGATTAGCGGCGATTCCTGCAGGAGCCCTCCAACAGCAGCTGAAAGTGAAGCGCCGTGAGCACTAAGAGGCGGGATGCTTTCAGTTCGAACAGCTGTCCCCAAAGTAGTTCTTGAAATGTTTACACTAATACTTATAATACAGCAAGTCTGTCGTTGTTGACATGACTTGTTGAACGGGGATATCGGCCGCCAAGCCAAGCGTTGGCAGCGTGTCGTTCAGAGACGCTGGCCGGGTATCAGCTTCCCCCGAGGGCAGGTTCCTTCGTCCCGTGAAATCCAACATCCGATTTGTGAGATCAGCCTGCTGCCAAAGCCACCAAAGTCTGTCGATCTGCACATGGTGGAGGAAGAACAAGGGGTCTGTTTTCTCTGTTAGTCTTCAGGTGCCCGAACAACGTAGGTGGTGAGGGCTTGCCATTTGGAGATGTCGAAGGGAACAGGTCTCCTCCAACGGCTGAGTGAATCGCACCGTGGGGCCCGTTTTCCAAAGTAGTCGCGAATGTAGAAAAGTTGCTAGAGGTTTTGATGATTCCTGAGATCTTCTCGAGCGAGTACAAGCCGCCTTCGTAAGGGCCGGCATTCACCCCAATACCGTCATTGAAACCGCGATTCAGACAATGCGAGAGCGCTGTCGTTGTATAGTAAGATACGGTAAAGTTGGCGAAAGCCCCGTCAATTACGCACATGGTCAACGGGTTCGGTCGCGTTGGTGAGACTAAACCGCCATTCAGGCCGTTTCCTCCGAATCCGATGGTGGTGTCGTTGGAGAAAACGGGGCTCTTAGACATGTCTTCAGAGTCAAGGGTCCAGTCCCAGTAGGTCATTGGGCCTGTGTACCTGCACTCATCTCTCAAGGCTGTCTCATAGATGTGTACAAAGTACCGATGCCAGGGGAGGAATTGAGCGACAAAATGAACTGCGATCGTTGATTAGCATGATGCCAAATGTTGACGCATATAAAGAAAGGACGCACTTTCGTTGTTGAGCTGCGCATGGACATAGGGGAAGTCGTTGTATCGCGACGTTTTGAGACCGATCTTTGACGGCAACCCATCTAAGCACTTTACTGCGCTGATGTAGTCTGCTTTTGCGGCGCTTGACAGGGATCGCCACTCGATTCTTAGCGGCGCATCTTGAACTGGCAGAGCGATGGTCTCGCTGACCAGCGCTGCTAATAACGCAAGATATCCGGCGCTCTTGGTGAAACCCTTCATGACGGCGAGTTGCTAGAGTATCGAATCGGTGTACGAAGCAAAGGATTCAAGTTGACGATTATGTTGCGGTTTTCAACCTACAAGTATCCAAAATACCATGGTCATCTTCTCGTATTACTCGGTTTAACCCCTCTTAGCGCATGCTGCAATTTCGGTACCGCCTTCGTATAAGGGGGGCACCGAGCTTAAATTACGGCTTCGCGGATGATCCTTCCTCCACTTGTCGTTCGTCGCCCTTTCAGATTTTCGTACACGAGGTCTTTCAGATCACCGATGGAGTTGCTCTATGCGTTACTCAATACGCTGGAGCTCGAATGGCGGAGCGAAGTACTCAAACAGCAGTTTGAGAGGCCGCAATATCGAATGCGTCTTCCTCCATCCAGGCCGGGTTAGGTTCTAGGGTGCCTTAAGACATCAATTACAGGGTATTTCGAGTCAGCCAGCGCAATTTCTACAACGACTCAGCTTTGCATGAGAACCCGCACCCGAAATTCCCGATAACATCGCTCTTAGGCGAAAGCTTCCTCCGGCAACGCCGTGCGCTCCACTCCGGGTCGGAGAGTCGGGGAGTTAACAGTTGAGTTCGCCGGGTCCGATGAGATAGGATTCACACCACAAAAGACATTCTTGAGCGCGCTTCGAATTATTAAAAGGTATTGACACAGCATCAATGGATTCCAGTTGGGCCTTGATGCATGGCATCGGTTACCTGACTTGAGTATGCAAGGATACGAAGCTTTGTAAATCTCGAAAAAAACGACGCTTGGGATCTAAAAAGCTTCAAGAAGAAAAAGAAAAGAGGTTTAAGCTGTCACCATCGCCGAACTCCGTCGCATTACCAGTACATCGGTGTCATCATCCGCCGAGGTTCTAGCAGCATTACGGGAATGAGAGTCTCGATGTCCGCATCCCATTTCGCCCTCCAAAGCCTTTCCAACATAGGTCTTCTTTGCCTTGCCTTCACCAGATCCTATCGAATTGGTCACACTCTGTGCTAGAGTTGACTGAGAGAAGGATTCAACTACTCTATCGGCACCACCCGTGGACGAACATGCCCGGCTCCGCGGTCGCGATGGATTTAAAGTCCTCTCGTCGGCCTCCATATTCGAAGGGTCGGGAGCTCCATCTCCTACATTCGCTCTATTCGAGGGATGGCACATCGGCTTGAGGATGAGGGAGGGGCCCTCCAAAGTGGGATATCTCTCACTGATATCGTCGAAAATGTCCCAGTGATGTGTGAAGTATGTCACCCTGGGAGTTTGCCGGTGACCTTCGTAAACATTTCGACCCCATATTTGGCCGATGAGTTCTCCCGTCTCATCGTGCACTACGGCCGCACCCGAGTCACCGCACACACCGGGACCCTCGGAATTCCAGTCTTCGACCAGCATGAGATCCCCAAGGTTCATCAAACACCATTCCCGGGTAGGCATATGTGGGTATTGGCGGACTTTGGCAGGTGTCTCGCATACCACAGCATATCGAAATCCGCTACTTCGGCCAGTTGTCTGGATAATTTGCAGTTGGGGGCGTTGCACAAAGGCTCCTGGGATTGGGTCCGAACGATCATCAACCTCGATACCCGATGGTGCATATCGAAGACAGTTATGAACTTCATCTTGCTCGGCTTTGCAAAAGGCCCAATCCGTAACTACTTGCGTAGTTGGCTTGCATTCTCCATGAACACTTGGCGCAAAATGGCCTAGAGATCTCGATGGACGAGTTGTTCTGTACATCCGTCCTGAGTAAGCCTGAAGCTCCCCAATCTGTAGTGGTCCCTCGTCCTCGTTGCAATCAATGTAGGCTGGGTGGAACAAACCGTAGCGCGGCACCGGGTACGGATTATCCAGCTCTTTCCAATTCTCAATACCATGGAACATATGCCAGTTGACAATCCAGCCATTGCAGCCGCCGAGTCTGATAGCTGGTCCAAGGGTTGCGGCGCAATCGCTCTCTTCAAAGCTGACAGAATCCCCAAGCAGTCTCTCGCTGTGCTTGCGACAGTTTCGAGGCTTCTTCAGCTCGTTATCTGCGTCCTGACTCGAAGCGAGTGCGCCTGCAGCACGCCCGACGTGCCCGATGGAAAACTCGACCGTGATTGTGTCCTGAAGCTCTTTGGATTCCGCAAAATACAACAAGATCTTGCTCCGGATCTTGTTACTGGTGTTTCCAGGAAGCTCCTTGGGCGTCATAACCTCGACAACTCTGGTGCCGCTTCCCTTGCCAGGGTGGTTCCCGAGTACGTAGCCGCAATCATATCCGATAATATCTCTTAGATCTTGATCGAAGTTCGGCGACACTTTCGAATCCCAGATGTCTACGAAGGCTTTTGATGTAGACTTCAGTGCGTTAAGATGCTCACGTACTGCTTTGAGGTCGACAGGCTGTTGCGCCATGACTCCAGCGGGCCTCGATGCTTCCTGTTTCGGTACGATGGATCTTATGATTACCCCTTGATCTTGAGGAGTCACGATTTCTTGGCGGCTCTCTTCCGTAATGGGCCTGGGGAAGGTGGGCGATAGACCTGGGACGGAGTTCCGCTTTTCCGACTGCCGTGAAAGTGGCGATGGTCTTGGAATCCCAGTATCTGAATGTCGACGTCGGAAAAGATACCTGATTTTTGATGTGGCAGAACTCAGAGAAGTTCCGCTGCTGCTCAAGAATGAGCTCAAGGTAGAAGATCGAGTCGGGTTTGGAGATGGGTGGCTGAAAGGCGGAATTTCGAAAACTGGATGACAGAGTTCAGCTGAGTCGACATGTAACGCGTCGTCTAGATGACTTGGCCTTCGCCACGGGGGCGGCTGTGCGAAAGTTTTCGGTGCAATGCTCGCCAGGTTCCAAGCCAAGTATGGGTCTGGAACTTGCGCTTCCGAGTCCTCATCTAAGAATTGATGTTGGGCCTCATGTTGGCTTTTAGGCTCGAACCTTTTCTCCCTAAGGTGTATCAAATGTTAGCCTGAATGTGGACCCGAACATGCTCTTTGTCGAGTGAACATGGAACCCGAGTGCATGAAAGGACTGGACAACACAAACTTATTTCTTTTGTTCTTCCTTGATTTGCTACGCTTCCGATTCTTTTCATTACGCTTGGATTTCTGCTTGACGCGTTTACAACGAACAATTTCTTTGATCGATGTAAAGGAGGTGAAGTTTTTGAGATGCATCTTGGCTTGTGTATTGGCATCACACTGCAGCTGCTTGTGTTCAAGTCGCTATGCGCAATTCTCGAATCGTACAAGGACAGAGCGGAGCGTCGGCGATCATGGCACTTATGCACTCGAGGTCCAGTCTCATGAAGGCCATGTATTTTACGTTGCCCCATCTCAATGCGAATCTGCCTGGTGCTTGCTGCCCTGGAAATGGCGGAAAGCCCCTGGCTGCCTCATGGCGTTGCGGCTGTGCCTCATGGGAGACTGATCTGGAAAAAGCCCATCTGCGGCCTGAAGTGGTATGGTGTAAGCTGGTGTAAGACAAGAGGAGCTCGACTAGGCCCAAAACCTCTAGCTGCAGAAGGTTGCTGTCTCGGGCACAGTCAACAGGCAGATTGAGGCAACCTGTCAGCTTTTCGGTGACCACACGGAAGTTTGATTGGCTGCGTATGGAACCGAAATCCTCCACCCTTGTCCTTGGTTGAAAATGCTTCTTCTTCTTCTTATTTTCGTGTGTCTTGTTGAGCATTGCTAAGTCAAAGAGCCTCATTCTCACCGTGACCAATGCGTTGTTTGGCATCTAGAACCGGTCCGCGACATCCAGATCTCTATGTAGGTACTTACACTTTCTGTCTAGTAGGATGACTCAAGTTAGGATTCCTTCCAAGTCGAATGACTGTAGGCGATGTTTTGATACATTCAAATCCGAGTTGGCCGTGGATATGAGGTATTGGCTCTTTGGGAGACGCTCCCGTGCAAAATCCGGATCGCAACCTTTGCAAGCCCCGCGCTCAATGAACAGTGATTCACTGGTCTGAGTTTCGACGACTAAGCAGATGCCTTCAAAAGGCGGGAAAACATTCCACCACTTGCAAAATTTGTATTTTTCCAAATCTCGGGGTGTTCTTTTGGCGATCAGCAGGCCAAACATTATCACAAACACGCGTTTAGAACATCAGAACCAAGTGTCTCGAAATCGTCAAATCGTCGAACATCAGCTATCACGCGACATTCACATAAAATCGCACTCTCGAAGAATCGGAAACCAAGTCACAATGATGAAAATCCGTGGCGTCTTTCTCTCGGCCATGGTAGTCACTACGATTGCGCGGCAGGCCAACCTTGGATACGAGCGGCTTGGAGAGCGTCGCGATGTTCTTCCCCTCCTCCCCGGGATGGGTTTCGTAGGTTTCGCATATGTGCCTTTCGGAAACAGCTGCTAATTAGTCGAGGCAGATTCACACATTTCTGTATGACACGATGAACATCATTCAGGAATTCGGGCACTGGCTAGCGGCCAACACCACTGCCTTGGAGTGAATGGGGCCTGAATAGGCTGGAGATGGCGAGAGTCGAAGGGGAGATGGAGAGGAAGTAGGAAGCATGAGGCAGAACCTTACTTAAACAAGAGTACAAGACTCGTTTCAACGGAATGGCATCGTGGCTCACAAGCTGCGCACTGCCCGCCAACCAATCCCCGTGAATATCCCGCTGCGATCAAGTATGTGAGCACTTACGTGAGGTAAGAAGTAAACATTTATTTATAGCTCTAGCCACAGCTTGTACTGTATAACCCGTGTATCCAAAACTCCATTGCACCGTTACCAGCACGAGAACAAGATCATCTCAGTGTCAAGGCTAATTCCGACTAATTCAAGCCTCAACCTCCTCCTCAGCCTCAGCATCCTCGGCATTCTCGGCATTCTCGACCGCGCGGCGACCGTTCTTTCTATTCTTCGAGTTCTTGGAGTTCTTAGAATCCTTGGAGGCTTGCGAGTGATACGAGGCAAGCGAGTCCTTGCAGCCTTTTCCACAGTTACCAGCGTCCTGCTTCGCGTGATTGGCGTCGTGCTTCGCGACATCAGCCGGAGTGTTGGGGCCCCTGGCCTCTCTGGTCTCGATGTTGGTCTCAATGTCGAGAGCCTCAACTGGAGCAGCATCTTGGAGTCCCTCTCCGGCGAGCGCAGTCAGATCATGAGGCTGGGCGACAGGCATGGCCGTGACGACACCGGTAGCGCTCAAGGTGGCAAGGAAGAGAGTGCTGAAGAAACGCATTTTGGCGGTTGATGGTTTAGGTTTGAAGAAATTTGAATTGGTTTTGTTTCTGTAGGAGACGAATTGATAGAGTGTTTGAGCAAGCTGGAGAAGCTGAAGTTTGATACAAGAGATGGCAGTCAAGTGAGCTGATGAACAAAGAGAAAGCCGTTGAGGAAGGGAATGGCTTCATCCTTTTATAATCGACGCCAGCCATAGTTCATCCCGCAGTGACACCTGCCCTCCCAAGCCTGAAGCGATGAATGATCCAAGATCTGCCGACTCATGAGAGTTCATGTTGCCGTGCTACATCCTCAGTCGGACGATAGCCCCACTCCTCGATCAACAGCCTCATGCAAGCATAGCAAACGGACGGCCATCATTAGATGACGCGGTTATTGACTTAGACTTTGGGGCTGTTAGTCTACCCCCTTTGTATTGCGACTAGTTGTTAAGGTTAAAATAGTGTTGTGGTAAGGCCTGGAGCCAAGATCCATAGAACAAAACGGTTTTCGTGAAACGAAGAACTCTAAACGCTAACATGGACTGTTTACTTGTAAAGGCCACTTACACTCGGCGTAAGTCAGTAAACAGAGGAGCAGTCTCGGAACGCCGAGCCGATGACTCGCGCCTTTTTCCCGCCTGTGCGAGTGATCGCTCGGTTGATCTGCAAACCCCCTCAGTTGGCAAGTGTCCGGACGAGGGATCTCCCTGCATGGGCGTTTTGTCGTGGTGCCAAACAACCTTTCGGCACAACCTTATTCTGCACCTCAAGCCAGCCTTTAGGATAAAATCTACCTGACTCTTCTAACCAAGTTGAAATCAACTCTACGATAGAGGTCTCGGTCTCGCCTCATTAATTAGATTGTTCTGTCCTTGCGAGGTCTGGCCGAATGGAGGATCTAGTTCATAGCGCTGTGACTGGTCCAATGTTCATTAGCATCACTCTCTTCAGCTAGAGCAGGGCCCCCACGCCCGCCATTCAGGTCGATCAGGAGCGCTTGCGAAACTTGCTCATATCAGAGCTTCTTGTTGAAAGTACGCCAGTGTCATCTCTTCCCAGTCATGGCACTTGAGATGCCAAGTTGGGGGCCAGGAGTCCATGATCTGTGAATTCCCTGCCGATCTAGGGCGCCGACACGTCGACAGCGTCTGTGCTAACATGGGTCCAGATACTCCTCTCGCTTTGAAGACCATCCTTTGCTATAATACGAATCCGATATACCGGTGCCGGCTTTACGATTTGAAATCCGTAAAGTCGTGTAGGTAGTCGAACAAGCATCATGTCTACTTCGATAGCTGCAAGGTACGAACTTTACTCGGCGAAAGGTTTTAGCCTCAACCAGTTCTGTGGGATCACTACACCGCGAAAGAGGCATTTAGGTACGTGCAAGCCGTCGCACCATCTGTATTGTCTGCTAACTCAAGGACAGAGTTCAAGGGACTGGACAAGCTTGAATTCTTGCTGCTGTTCAGACGGCCGCACCATTGAACCTTACAAGCTGCGCCCCAAAAGATCCGAGGGACGTAAGGCTCAAGATGGCCTAGCACAAAAGAGACCATACTCATATGGCAGCTATTGGCTTGCTAGTCCATATTCCTCGGATTCTATAGGAGTATGGGTGCCTACCAAATGTTATCGCCAGGAAACATAGGAGGCCAAGAAGTCCAGAGGCCCATACCTAGTTGAACCAGTGCTGGAAACAAACCCCGCGTACTCTTTACAAACGGAAAAAAGAGCGCACGGCACGCATTACGCCAAGTCCATGACGGGCGCGTTGTCAATCCCATAGTTACGTGTCGCGCGGTGCCATGAAACACGAGAGCGAGCGAGACCGAGCAGACTTGCGAGGCAGAACGACAGCCTTGGCAGGTAAACAGGTCGTAGATACCGAGGGACGGGCAGTGTGATCGCTGGATGGACTACGAGCGGCTGGGAATACCTTGTCACGTTCGGCGTCGAGCGAGCCACTATGTCTCGAGGAGCACAGATGACATGAGAAACTTTAAACACAAGGTCTTCGAGGTGCCGAGTCGAGTGGGAGATGCGGTAGGTGATAGGCGCACGGAGACTTTTTCTCGGCCGGCTTTGGTAGGGCGTACACGTGGCCGAGTTTTACCGGGGAGTGTAGCGGTGCCGAGCTTTGATACCTCGGGGTTAATTAGTCGACGAGCCCGATTAGAGATGTTAAGAAGACACTCCGTGGCCGATTGTGTTTCACGGAGGTCATGATTCAACCTTGAAATCTTGACCGGAGGTTTCTTCTCTCGAGTCGAAGAAGTAGCCATGGTCAAACGCAGGACCGTATTCCCCTCTTTATTCAGAGGAGTAATGGCGAGGCCGTCGCGGAGTAAAGGCAATCACAAGTCGGAATCATTACCGCAGACAGTTCAGTGCCCATGAAACTTCTGGGCGTTGACGCGCTTTGGTCAGTGACTGCATCGCAAGGTAGTCGAGAAGCTGCAGAGGTTTTGGCACTAGACTTTTGTCAGAAACAAGTAAATTACTCCCAGCTGATTCCATAGTGGATCGAGGAGTCATACACTGTAAAGAAGCTTCCGAATTGACCAGTGACCGTTGCAGTCTGGGTCAGGGATGGCCATGCCTACTTACTCCATCAGTGTCGTTTTGCCACCCAGCGTGGTTTAATCAGACAAACAGAACTCAGTGTGATTCAATAATCAACATAGCTCGATTCATAGCTTTGGCAAGATCATCTCCGAGATCACTTCCGAGAGCATGCTTTTCATTCTGATGCGCAACGATAGCTCTCTACAAGCGGGCATAGTCTGCAACTCATCTTGATTCAAGTTGAGGCAGTCATCGCATTTCGCTGAAGTTTGCGTATCTCAGCAAGCAGGCAATCTCGACCATGATAAAGCGTCCGGAAACGAGAATACCAGAGACTGAGGTATATTTCCCCATGGACTAGGTAGGTAACTGACCACAAACACACCTCGAGCATGCTGGAACAGTGTCTAGATGAGGCCTGTAGCTACATTTCGGTGCCACACATACTTCTGTTACTTCTGTCTGATCTCATGAGAGGGGAAACGGCAGTCAGGCCCACAAGGGTAGCCACTGCTCGAAAGCCGTGACATCGCAGCCTTCTCGATTTCTTACTTCCATAGTTTCATTACACAGATATCACCGTCCAGATGACCTTTATCGATCCCGCTAATGACGGTATAGTCGACGCAGCAGAGTTCTTCCGATCAAGAACGATTTTGAGCCTTGCGAGCAAATTCGAAATCACGTTCCGGGCTAGAATTCTTTCTCATGTACAATTTGAAACCTAACTTTGTTTTTTCGGGAGGTTTAATTAGAAGCTCAAAATTCTGCTGTTGTTTAGGCTGACATTCGTCATCCGAAAAGAAGAGGGATCGACATTACGCACACAAGCCTCCCGGTGGGGTAAGCTTCCTTGACCCGAGCCGAAAAGCCTGCCGATATCCAGATTCACTAGCTAATGTAAACGTAAGTTTCTACCTAGTGAATCTGGATATCGGCAGGCTTTTTGGCTCGGGTCAAATGAAGGTTACGATTCTGGGTAAAGAGTCTGCATAGCTCGGTACTCCTCGTGCTGTAATAATTGTTCAAAAGATAAACCTCATTGGAGCAACGATATGTGAACCGAGTAAGTGGAGTGGAATCTTTGTGTTGGAATGATATTAATGCCTCCGATGACCCAGTGAGTCTCATAAATACAAACTAGGCTATGTAACATTCCGTTCCTCTTCAGAAGCATCCGGCAAGCTGCCAGCGGGATGGTTTGGGCTCTTTTCGATTAGCCGATGAAGAGGGGAAGTTGTCCGTTCGAGCCGTGCTGCTGCCCACCGGCCCGGCGCTCAGGGTTCACTGGCGGTAGTCAAAAAGGGTATGCGTCTCAGCAGAGGATTTGCCCATGTAACAATGATGAGACAGGCAAAGTGCATGTCTAGAGCCCGCTGAGCCAATAGGACATACTCCATGGCACGGTTACAATAGGGGCTTTCTTGGCGGCCAGGTCCGCGATGAATGATATTTCTCGTCCGAGTTATCAATAATTCCGATGTTTGGTTGAAATGGCTTAATAAGTGAGTGTGAATACCTAGTCGAACTTTGATCTTATTGCTGCCCGAAAGTTGGCGATCTGGCGTTCTAGTCATCTCACGTCCAAGAAAGTATCGCCATGGAAATCAGCTGCTCTCTGAATATTTCGCTTGATTTTCTTGTAGTATGATGGCGCACAAGGGGCAATTGGAAGGCGAATGGACCATACGAACGACTCTTCCGCCAAATACACTTACAGCCAACGGAGGACTCGTGGGCTATACCCAACGACTTCGTCCTTTCATATATAAACGCAGTTTGATATACGATTAATGCATGTGGCTTCGTACAGGCCGGAAGACCCTGCCCTGCTGACTTGCATGCCGACGGTCTGGTTAGAACAGTAGCTGTCTTAGTATCTGATTGCTCTACTGCGCAAGGCTAGGGTAACAGTTTTCTTACCTGGCCCATCATCAATTCTCTTTTCAGGTCATAATCACAGAATCATGCCTGGGTGAAGATCGCCACACACAACCTCTAAGCTAGAGGACCTGAGTCGCTTAGTATAGATCCAACGCTTCAACTGGCCAGACTGCGTGGTCAGACACAGCGGATTGGCACGGTAATGAGCCCTGATCCCAAAGTTATCGACGAATGTACAGAGTACCCAAGCCCGAGTGGCGGGTTTCCAATCTCTCCTATGCCGGACATGCGTCCTGTTCCGAAGGATACCCGTCTCAGTGAAATACCTCTAGATCTAGACAATAAGTTAAGTACTTAACTATCCCGTTATACGGGTACTTCAACAGATTCTGACTTTCGAAGCTCTTAGTGTAGGCTGATGCTCGAGAAGAGAGGAGCTGTGAAATTTTCATTTCAAACTTTCACTTTCCTTGATCATTCTCAAAATCAGATCAATATATCCCCATCGTCACTGTGATTCAAGTATAACTCAAATTAATGCCGAAACTCAATCAGAATCTACCGGCAGGTTGGTGCCGTCCTACTCAGTCTGAACAGAACTGGCAATGCGCCTTCTGTCCGAAGTGTGATATTGAGGTCATGTCGGAGTCACCTTTGCCATCAACTCTCGGTGCTTCTAGAGAGGTACATAAGAAGAGGCGAGTAACGTTGCATGACCTGAAGAGATATGATGGGTATCAGCGGCAATTGCGAAAGTAGACGTTTTCTTTTCTCTTCAAAACTGTGAAGATGAGGCGGATTCGATCTTGATTGTGTCTAGTCGCATTTTACGAATTTGGAATTTCCCTATACCCCAGTGCACACCAAAATTATCCGAGGTCAACGGGAGCCAAGTATGGCGTAGACTTCAGAAGTGACACCCTTGTCTCTCCCACCCGGGCGTTTATCCTGCGCAAAGTGGGATGAGGGTTCAGCTTGAATGTGATTGCAGGGCTAAGAATCGCGCCTGACCGCTACTCATTGTTGGTTGAGTTTTGTGCAAGATTGCCCCATGAAATAAGCAAGGAGCGAATTGGGGAGTTGTTCAACTTCTTGTTTTCTGGTTATCTGGTTGGTTGAAGAACACTTGGTGCCAAGAAGGAAGTGCGAGGTGCATGCTACGTACCCATTATGTGCATGAAAGAAAAGGTTCTGAGTCTCTGTAACCATGTGGTATCCAAGATTGATCAACTGGCAACCCAATAATATGCGTGCGATTTCTTTGAGTGAGTAATAAATGGCGCTGCTTGCGAGGTGTCATCGCAGCCAGCACACAAGCGGATCGGGCGATGGACTTTCATTGGGGGCTAGAATTCAAGATTCAGGCTGGACCTGCCGTCGCACTTCACCCCACAAACATCTAGATCGTCTGTGCATGTCTTGCCTGTGCCCATGTCTGTGCTAAGAAGTGATCGGCACCATTCGAGTGTTGGTCTCAAGATGAAACTTGGCGTTGGTTTCTCTCGAACGCGTCTAGATGATTCTACGCCTAACTAATAGGCGGCCTTGGGTGAGCTTATTTGATCAGCCAGGATATTGACAATGAACGGGAGCTCGATATTTCAGGATTGTTACAGACCCCATGACGCTGGCGTGTCTCAGTCGGCGCAGTCAGACGACACCAAAGAGTCAAAGGCTCATGTTGGATTGACATCTTCAAGGGCAATACCAAGGGGAGACACAAGATGCGAGGTGAGCTGAACCACCCCCACGGCCAAATCTGTCCACTCACAGAATCAGGGGCGGAATTCGGGCTTATCTCCAGGCCTGATCCGGGGGGATGAGAGATGCGGTGTAGAACCAACAGCGCAACGTGTTGGAAAGATGGAATATTGAAATTGAGGAACAAAGAAAGGACACTGTGACGGGGGTGCCATGCGATCAGTGGCTGCGGCACACCACCTCTGGCTGCGCCGTCGGCGAGTACGTACCGAAGTGCCGTTCTTGAAAAACTTCCATTGGGCAACAACGCGAGGTACAACTGTACGCGAGTACCTTAATCCCGTGATCTAGATTGGCTAATTGGGGAAGGCAGAAGCACCGGAAGGCAGGCGCGGGTCGATGTTACCTTATCGCGCGAAGGAGGAAACAACACACCGCGGGCCTTCCCTCGCAGCGCTCTTTCCTTCTTCCCCGTCCCTGCGTGTGCCACAAAGAAAAAGTACGTATCGGCTTAGTCAGATTGACTGTTTGCTCGCTGGGGCGCGGCTCCAAGTCCACGTCCACCCGACGTCCCCTCCCCCTCCACCTCCACTACTCTCCCGGCCGTGTCAATTTCAACCTCGATCTGCCCGTGTGTTCTCCTCATCTCATTCTACGTTTGATGTTTCCGATCGCTCCTCGGACGCAAAGGAGGAGAACGCAGAAAACCCCCGCCAAAGCCTGTTTCCTCCAGCACATTTCAGCCCAGTCAGAAAAACCGCCCCCATTTCGAGGTTGTACAGAGACGGCATCCTCCCGCCGATTGTGCCCCTCCAGATCGCATTCATCTACATATCCGAGATCGGCCCTGCATTTCTTCAGCGAATCCATCCATTTCATCGGCAATTAGCACACGTGTAGCCAGACGGTGGATCTGCGCATCCGTCAACCGTACCAGGGAGGAACAGAGAAGGATTCCTTGGGGTGCGCGGCCCCTCACCGTGGCTCAGACAGTAGGAAAACTTAACCCGGTTTTCCCTGACCTGTTATCCCTCGTGTGAGAAAGATATCCGTACGGATATTGTATCCACCGCCAAACAATCCGATTGCCCATTGTCTTTCGCCATCGCGCCGCCGGATGGGACTCCCGTGACCAGATTCGACGCGTCCAGCGCTCGCTCGAATCATGGGCCAGAAACAGGAAGACGACGATCTGCTAAACGGTGATAGCAGACGGCACAGCGAGCCCAGCATCAAGCGTCGCCGCATCACAAAGGCCTGCGATTTCTGCCATCGCCGAGGACGGAAATGCAAGCCCGTGCCCGACGGAGGCGGGGTCGCCTCCGTCGCCAGTCCTGGTGGCACGCCAAGTTGTCTGACCTGCATCGAACACGGCGCGACCTGCACATGGAACCGTGTTGCAGCCAAGCGAGGCGTTAAATCAAAGACGTCGCCGTCGTCTTCAGTGAATAATAATAACAAATCTCAATCCTTTGACGATGCCGATGGCGATAGGTGGTTCTACGACGAGAGTCGCCACGGGAGCAGGGCCCTCATCTATCGACTCATCGTCATCTTTTTTGACACTGTATACCCAGTGTGCGTTCATCCCACCCTCGTCCCTTTTTGGTCTGCATCTATTGCGCTACAATGAATAAGCTAACATTGGCTGAAGATTTCCATTTTTCGACGAGGTGTCCTTACACAAGGAATGGGAGGCAACCAGCCTGTCATCTAGCAGGGCTTCTTTCGCCCGGCTAATGGCCATATGCGCATTGAGTTCGTGTCACGTCAGAGATGGCGCCTTATTCAACCCGGATACGCCCACTCCTCTTCTCCCTGAGCATCACGAGGCCTACATGCAGGATGCAGAAAGGGCGATTCCGGAGAGAAATCGCGACATCCGCAGTTCCGAAGCCTTTGAGTATTTACAGGTTCTTGGCACTTTATCCCTGGCCGCCACACAGCTCAAGGACGACCCTCTATTCCATGAGTGTATGGGCCGTTACCACACATTAGTAGCTCAGCACACCTTCCATTTTGAAGCGCGCTGGCCCTCGAATCTTACATATCCGGAGAAGCATGTAAGGCGGCAGTTCTTCTGGTCAATGTACCGCCTGGAAGTCCATGCAGCGCTGATCGACGGCCATGTGGTTCGGTGCCCCGAACTACAATGCGCTGTTGCATATCCGCAGCAGGTCAACGGCCTAGCCGGAATCATAGATGCGTCAGGGCAGACCGAGAAGACCCGATTCAGCCATGGCAGCTGGCTCACCGGCTGGAACTACATCACCGACCTGTATCGCGTACTCGAACACGTCATTGTCCGAATGCGCAAAGATCGACTAAAGACGCTCGACAGAGGTCCAATCCAACACGAACCACTTATGTCAAACATCGACGACATGTTGCAACTGGTTCTTGGAAAGAAGAGCAATCTTCCTCTATATGCCACCAGCGCTTATCCGGCATCCAAAGACGTGGAGGCAAACCTATGTGGGTTTCAAGTGGCCAATATCGCTTGTACCTTTCAGGTGGGTTCGGATCTTTGCATGGCAAATGGTCCGATGGCTAACATCAACTCGAAGCTACTCCGGATGGCGGCATTCGCATGCCACAACAAATTTGAAGATGCTTGTGGCGCTGCGCTTGAACTAATACAAGAGATTACTCTGGTGCCGGTGGAGTACTTGCGGGCAATCGGATATCCCATGGTATGCTCCTCTCTTACTTGACCGATACTGTGCTGATATTGCTACGCAGCTGCAAGAGTTGGCAGGAGTCGCCCACTTGCTTAGTAGCTTCATTGCCCGCCAATTGGTCGACTGGCAGTACTACAAACTTCGCGAAGTCATGTACGTTGGAGCCCGCATACCCCTTGTCCTATATCTAAGGTATGCTGACTGGTCAGGACTTCCATGGCCACATTTCTTCAGAGCCTCGCACCGTCTCTTCCTTCAGCAAGCCAAGCAGGCGCACGAATCTTTCAGTATATTCACAAACTAGAAGAGATACTTCTTCGACAGAGCCAGGCAATACCAACAGTGACAGCAGTACCGGCAGTATCGGTAGCGCCGGTCATGCACCATCAGCCCGAGATAACGAATGACCCACGGGTCATGGACTTGATGCCCCAGCCGCCACCACAGCAGCAGCACCCAGGGTTTCTCGAGCAATATGCATTACCAAATACTTCCTTTTACAATTTTCAAGCAGATTTTATCGGCAACATGTGGAACAATGCCTTCAATGACGGGGCGGAGATTGATTGGGCCGGCGCAATTGAGAGCTGGGGGACGACTTGATTTTGCGTTAATTCCTTCCCGATCTATCACCATATCAATATATCGACATCATTTATAGTGGCTACTAGCCCCCGTCTTACACATCGGGCCCTTCCTACGTCACAATATCTGCTGCCTGTCCCTCATCAATTCCGTGCTGCTTACCGCAATCTTAGTCTTGGTATCGTCGAGGAGAGAAAGCACTGGTTTGGTTAAAGCCGTCTCCTCAACCCGCCGCGACAAGATCGTCATCCCTGAACGAACACCATCAATCGTCTTGATCGAAGGTGGAAGAGCCGAGAGTATATTGTCTTCCAATACCGCCATACCCGCACAGCCGAGGATAATACTTTCGGCACCGTTATCAATCAAAGGCTTCGAAGATGTAGCAATGCGATCGATCACGAAATCCCGATCCAAGCTCTCCAGCTCAAGTGGGCTCAAGCCAGTCGCTGCGACGCCAGTTGAATACGTCCCGAAACCGAGGTCATCAACAGAGTCTTTCAACGGCTGTTCCCATGAGGTCGATGTTGTAACAATGCCGAACTTGCCTCCACTTGCTGTGGCTTCCTGTAACGCGGCTTGGAATATTCCGGTGACGGGAACCTCGTCACCGTAGCGCTCCTCCAGTGCGTATACTAGCGGGTGGTCTGAGAAGCAGCAGACGAGGACGGCATGCGGGCTGTGGGTGGAGATGTACTCTATCGCACGGGGGAGAACTGCGTTGGTTGAAGATATGGCCTGCGCGTGGTTCTCGATGCACGGGGGGCAGTCATCGAGGTCGCGGCCGTCCACAAAGGTAATTTGGAGGGTTGCCGTTGAGTGATATACACGTGCGAGGTCGTCTGTCATGCCTGTTGTTGATATAGGGATGATGCATAGGAGTCTCACGGGCTGGTCAATTGACGGCGCCATCATGTTTGTCCGTTTGAGAGAACAAAGAGGAGGCAAGGGTCGGGATATTGATGGATTTAGGTATTAGTATGTCGACCCGACGCGCATAAACGGGATGAATTTTGCCTTTTATCAACCTGACCTTTGACGTTATTGACACTCAATAGACAGCTTACATTTCTATTGACATGCCGTTTTCAGGAATTGAAGCGCACAGGCGGCCAAGTGCCCTGGTCGCAGTCGCTGGGTTCCGAATCGGTTCATCTATGGATTCAGCAGCTCATCCGCCCGCAACCCCGCCTTTGTGCGGTGGAACACGGCGTCTTTTGCTTCTCGTTGTCTCCCGCATCGGCACTTGGGGACGATCTTCCATGCAGGGCTCGTACGATGTGGGACCCATTTGAATCCGGTTGGCCCTTTTGGGTCATTTTGCCCTCTTTTGCACTATCTACATGAATGGGGTTGAGCAGGGGAAGGTCCTTTAAGGTTCTTTGAGGTGGATGATGGCGCGGGATGGTGGAGGAGGGGGATGTCACGATTCACGAGGCGAGATGATGAATTGGCGCAATGTGGATTGATGGGCTTACTAGGGGCTTGAAGGTAGAAACCAGGGTATTGATTGAGTGGTGGTTTGGATCCAATAAGTGTGCATGATGGCCACCCACCCCATTCTCTTGAACATGTTCACTTCTTATCATCCTGGTGGTGTGAAATATGCACCTTTGCAGTGTGAGTTGCAACCAATACCAGCAACACTAGGAAGACTTGCAGATGAACCGTCACATTTAGCACGAAAAACAGGTCCTTCTTAGAGTTATGTACTCATGATGGGTCGAGTGGAACATACACATTGGGTCGACGGCAGGCTGCCGCTTCATCGCCTCTTCCGACACGTCACATCTCACCTCACTCACACTTGAACTGACGACAGAATTGATGGTAAGTCATTAGAGCCATTATGGCATATTCTATTCGGGCAGAAACCGCATGCACAACAAAAGGTATCCCGCGCGCTATAACAAGGAAAACGACAAGAGCTGGCTCGTGATCATAACACACGTCCTTCAAATACCTATCCGCCTTCACACCCTCTTCTCATCGGGCTCCTCACGAATCTTGCTAGTCGAATCATCTCTATCAGACGCCTTGGAAGACGACGACGGAAGCTGCTCCCCGTCCAGCACCGGCCTCTCCGCCGGCCCAAACGTACCAAAATAGTCCGCGTCGTCAACCGCATGAGGGTCCCGAATCGGGAACGCAGCATGCAGTAGGCAATACGATACCACGGCAAGGGTACAACCCAACGGCCAAGCGAGGTAGTACAGGTGCGACCACCCCGCCTTTTCAACCGTCGGATCCTGCACTCGCTGCACGAACCCGGGTAGCAGGGAGAACGTGCCCACCGTCCACGACACGCCGGCGCGCCAGTTGACGCCCCCGCGGTACCAGTACACGCTCCGGCTGCTCGCCTCGTACAGGTCTGTCAGCTTCAGCCGCCGCGCGCGAACGAGGTAGTAATCCGCAAACATGACACCCGTCATAGAACCCAGGAAGACGCCGTAGCCGCCCATAACCGTGAGGAACTTGCTTGCGCCGTTGAGGAGCTGCCATGGCTGCATGATAAAGGCCACGGCTGCGGTGAGGTACCCGCCGCGGCGAAGGTTAAAGTAGCGCGGCAGCAGCGCGGAGAGGTCGATGCCGTTGGAGAGTGCGTTCTCCGCGACGGCGATGCCGAACTGGGCAAAGATGAAGGCGAGGGCCGCGAAGAAGACGGCGGCGCGGGCTCCCGCGCTGTTGTCGTAGTGGGCTTGGAGGGCGTCGAGGAAGCGGTAGGGTTCCCAGACGAGCGTGCCCTGCGTCTTGGGGAAGAGCTGGGCGGCGCACGAGGTGCAGACGATGCCGACGAAGGCGACGAGGATGGTGTTGACAGGTACGAAGACAAGCTGGGAGGCGAGCTGGTCGCGGGGCCGGCGGGCGAAGCGCGTGAAGTCGGACTGGGAGAAGATGTGAGTGCTGATGCCGCCGATGTTCGTGCAGATGCCGAGGGCGAGCATCCAGCCCAGGTGGGAGCCCGTTGCTTGCTTGACGCCGGCGGTGGAGGTGATGTCGTGGAGCATGGGGCCGGCGCCGCGGGCTGTGGCGAGGCACCAGATTAAGAGGACGAAGACGGTGGGGATGACGGTGCAGGCGGCGACGGCGAAGGGGATGTGGTAGCGTTCTGGGCGGATGTAGATCAGGGGCAGGCAGAGGAGGGAGAAGATGATGAAGCCGATGAAGTCTGCCACCGTCATTGTGCCGTTGGCGAGGGGGGTGTCGAGGTTGTTGAAGGACGGGGCCATGGAGGCGATGAAGGTGCGTACGCATTGTCCGCCCCAGTAGACTTGTGTAGAGTACCATATAAACGATAATACGATGCGCTGGACGAGCGGGAAGAGAGCGCCGCGCATGCCCCAGGAGGCCTTTTGTAGGATGGAGAAGCCGATATGCCATTTCGCGCCCGGCCCGCCGGCGAGGACGCAGATGAGGCCGACGAGGCAGTGGCCGATGATGACGGTCAACATGGCCTGCCAGACGTTGAGGCCGAGGGCGATGAGGGAGGAGCCCGTCGTCCAGCCGCCGATGTTGAAGGAGCCGGTGACGACCCAGAGGCCAACGAATTGCCAGGGCCCGTAGGTGCGGCGGGAAGGCGGGAGGGGCCGGGTGTCGCGGTTCATGTAGGCTGTCGTTGCCACGTCCGTCTCGCGGGGGACTTGGACGCGGCGGAGGAGGGCCGTTGCGGTCGTCATCTTGGCTGTTTTGGCGCCGGTGGGGGTTTGGCCGGAGAAGGGCACCGTGGGACACCGTCGATGATCACAACAGATTCTTGTTGCTAGTTCCCTGTCTAGTTCCAACTTCTCACTGCTGGGATGTACCGCTGAGGAAGCGGGTTGTTGTAAGGTGTTGGTGGTGTTCACTTGAGGAATGCGTGATGTACGCCGCGACGCCGGCTCTGCGAACTACTGCGGTGTGTATGCCCGCCCGTTTGGCAAGAGGACGGGGACCAAGAGGCGGGTGAATGTGGAGGGCGGGAAGATGGGGGAAGGGGCCCGCTCAGGAAGAAACGGGATGGGATGGGGGCCAGTACAGTAGGTAGGGTTCTTGAGTGAGTCCGGCCTCTTTCAATGAAGATATGAGACGGACCTTACTTAGGAGTGAGGCGGTGCGGGAGAGATCTAGAGAGGGGAGACGGGGAGGGCGCTAGGCCAGACCGTAAGCGGACCGGACGATTTTGAGGCGGGCCTTTTTCTTTTGTTTGATTCGATTTTTTTAGCGTCTAGCTTGTCAAAGTTTCGTACGGAAAGCTTAGTTACGTCGCACAGATCGTGGGGTGTTCAGTTACGTGCAATGCGTAACGGGCAAAAGGTTAAAAAGTTGGAGGCTATGAGGGGGACTTGGAATGAAAGGAGGAGGCAGGGCAATGTGTAGAGACACAGTGTGGTTGGGACTTGGGTTGTCCTTCACGGCTGATATATGTGTCTCTGGAGCGTTTCCATTTCATGTTCAATGCCTACGTACGGAACTTGATAGTACCGGGAGTCTGGGTCTGGAGGAGCTGGATGCTGGACGCGGAACCTGTCCCGGGCAAAGGGTTGACCAAGCGGGCGAGACAGAAATCCCAGAGGCGTGGTTAGCGACTTGCCCAACGGGCCACCGACAGGCTGACAGGAGAGGAAAAAGAAAAGAGCAAGAGGGAAGTGGTCTTACCTTACTGTGTATGGATTGCCATACATGATGGAGGGTGCGCCTGCGAAGCCCTGGCTGACCAAGTGCAGGGTCAGCTTTCACCGATGATACCACTTCAGGGGGTTCCAACCATCCCGGCGCAATATTGTAGATGGGCGGCCGGGTTTGCTCCAGTCCTTTGAAACAAGATATCAGCACCTCGGTCTACGAATAGCGGGACTTGAAAGGTGACGGAGGCTATGGGAACATCCATGGCGAAAAGGGAGGATATGGTTGGGGGTTGGGGAACTTGGGAGGGGGGAAAAGACTCTAGAGGCAAGGTTTGTAGAAGCTAGAGGGGACGCCATGTAATACTTCGTAAGCTGAACTTCCAGGTTTACGACAAATATCGCGTTTGATATCATGCAGTTGGAAGAGAACCTGGACTCAAACTACCGTACATGACCCCCTCCCGCCGTCCCTTTCGGACTCTTTCCCTCGTGGGATGCGCGGTCAATTTCACGATCCACGACGTGCCCGCCCCTCCACTGCCATGCAGAACCTGCAGCGGTGACGATGATCCCTGGCCCCAAAAGTGTGGGAATGTGGATAGAACCCAGGGCAGAAGGGGGCGCGGACCAGGCTCTCGGTAGGGAGGGGAAAAGAGAATTGGGGCAAGGATCTTTTCGGGTTCTAGTTCACGCCGGGGGTGTTTTTCTCTTTTCTTTCCTCCTGCTTACGTTGTGGGTACGAAAGCAGGATTATCACGTGTTGGATCTGGATGGGCTAGGGGGAATGGGATTTTGTTTGCTCTTCGATTTCGCTTGGCGTGTTGGAGCAGAGCGGACCGACGCAGGCCTATCACATGAGACATTCAAGACAGGGTCATCAACCTGATTCCCTCTCAGATTTCGACTATGTAAGTCTACGGAGAAGTAGGCTGCATTGCGTGTTCCTACACCGTTGCGCCGTTGCCTCAAGCACATCGCCAGATACTTTCTCCCGTACAGATACCAATCAGACGTCCTCTCCATCATGCTATGTATCCCGCACATCGCAGTAAACAGGAAAATCGAGGGAACTGTCACATTCTGGCACTCTGGCATTCTACAGCTCAACAGCTCAACAGCCACTGTCTCGCTGTCTCGGCCGCAAAATTTATGTGGCTCGGGAAATGGTAACGAATCGCGATTGGCTCGAGCAACACCATCGCCCGTTCCATCACCTTTAGACCCCTCATTTGAGACATGACTTTTGACGGCTTCAGTCAAGAATCGAGATCACGATTGCGCTTATCTCCACAGTATGTTTCGTCGTTCTCTGCGGAGCCTTTTTCTGCATGGGAAACTGGACCGGTCATGGGGCCATACGCGCGGGCACTGCCGCTTCTTCGTCACACATATCGATCGTCAACCGCGGCCTTGAACCCCCGCCCCCGCCGTCCATTCTCCAAAAGAGAGGAATTAACCCAGTTTAGGGTTGCGTCTGGCGTCTGTACGGGCGGTCACTCTCCCCTTCTCTTTGGCCCGTCGAACGCCTCGAGGACCCCGAGACCCAGCAAGCCCACGTGTGTTTCCCGCGGCGGGGCTCCTCTCAAGACGGGCAAAAAGAGTGACAAAAAGGTAAAATGAGCGGGCTCTGAGATGGAGAATCTGCCGCTGTTTCTTCTGATTCTACAGCTTTAACCGCCTCCGAGACCGCGGAACCCCCAATTCCCCACGAGGTTATCTCGAGGTCGGTCCGTCGGAAGAGGGGTTCGTTCTGCTAGAGAGAAAGCGAAAATGCGCAACCAAGAGTTGTTACTTAACTCGAGGAGCTTGGACATTTTTTATCACTATCTGCTGTGAAAGTGGCGTTCGCCCATGCCGCATACATCATTCATTTCATCCTGCATACTTTAATACCCGCGCTTCATTGCCTCCTGTCGGGCGCGCAACTCGGATCGGACGAAAATTCTCAAAGGCATATTACGCGCGATATTATCAGAAACCACAGACGCTTCCTGCTTGTACTAAAAGTCCACTGTCCACATCTGCATCCCCTGCGTAATCTTTATGTTTGTTCCAGAGCGAGAAGGGTGTTACAAGAATACCATTGTCCAACACCCCCCGTCTTGCAAACCCCAGTTTGCGCGTCTGCGCGGTGCGCCGAAAACCAACGAGCCAACCATGACCGTGGCCGCAGCGGCGGCGGAGTCGGAGGCGGCGCTACCAGTTGTTGACTTGCGGTCCTTCGACTCGGTCGAGGACCTTGCGGCCGACCTCATGCGCGTCGGCAAGGATCCCGGTTTCTTCTACGTTGTTGGCCACGAGCTGCGCGACGACGTCGCAGCCGACATGTTTGCTCTTGCCAAGAGCTTCTTCAGCTCACCCCTTGAAGAGAAGTTGGTGTACGCCAACGGCAGCGGTGACCTGGTGAGTTTTCCTGTTTTGTATTCTGCACCTCGCCTGAATAGTCCTGTCTCTTGCCCGTCTCTCTTTCTCTCTCTTTCAGCAACCGGGAACGAGAGGGCGTAGAAACAGGATGGATTTATGTACATGTTGTTGGACGAATATGATCGGCGATTAATCTTTTGCGGTGCTGACTGCGTGGTTTGATCTCGCTTAGGGTTACACCGGTATGAGAGAAGAAACGTATGTTGTGCTCAGCCCCATCTACCATGCTTATGGTGTTTCCCCTTTCGTAAAGAAACAGTGGGATCACGCTCAGATGTTGATGTTTGTGGGGTGGAACAGGCTTTCGGGAGCAGGGCCAGGCGACGTTAAAGAGTCCTTTTACCTATCAGACCCCGGTAAAACGACGCAGCTGCTTCCAACCGAGTTGGAGTCCCGCCGAGAGACAATGGCGGCCTTCTTTGCGGGTTGCGACAACCTCGCAAAGACTCTTTTGGAAGGACTTGCAGTTGGATTAGGCGTGAGTGCTGCCATCTAAGTGTTTTATATGACATCCTACCGCGGAGGAGCCATCAAAATGAGGGGCTGGGTATAACTAAACTCTTCACTTCAGATGCCAAGAGATTTTCTATCAAAGGCCCATACTGGCGAATGTTGTCGTATGCGTCTCATAAACTATCCCCCGGTATCCGAGGTCTCATCATCCACCACCACCTCCTCGCCTCCAGACGACGCCCCAACCTCTAACTCGGAAGATATCCGAGCGGGTGCCCACTCCGATTACGGCTCACTTACCCTGCTTTTCCGCCAGCCCTCGGACCAGGGCGGCCTTCAGGTCCTGCGAGGAGGAGGAGGAGGAAACAAGCCCTCCGCGTGGGCTGACGTCCCCTGCATCCCCAATGCCATTGTCGTCAACATAGGCGACGCCCTGGAGTTTTGGACCGCAGGGAGGCTGCGGTCTACGGTGCACAGGGTCGCCTTTCCCAGGTCCGCGAGCGAGAATGTCGCGAGGTTAAGTATACCCGTGTTCATACAGCCTGATCGCCACGTCGTGTTGGCACCCATCAAGGAGGACCGAGGGGATGGCGGCGGCGGCGGTGCAGGTGCCGAGTTTTTGGAGGTTTTGAGGAGAAAGGGGTACGAAAGTGCCGAGCCTGTTACCAGTCGGGAGCATTTGGAGCGACGGATACGAGCGACGTACGGCAAGGCTTAATGCGCATTTTTCTCTCGGAATCATCAGCGATGTTGGTGAGCACGGCATGACAGCGAGTATTTCTCTTTCGACACATCATAATATTCCAAGTTTGAACCTCACGCTCGCAGTTGAGTCTGCAAATATCTGCACATAGGTAGCACTGGTAGGTGTAGGTACCTACGCCAGGAACATATACGAGAAGAATAGTACACTCTACATACTACATCCCATAAATCACGCACCCATGCAACCAATAGTAGCATGCCCTGCGTAGTGTTGAGACCCTGATAAGTTGACAACCAACCTCCCCGGACCGGGAAATTTCTGCAAGCTGCATATAAAGACGGGAGATGAGACAACTTCGCCGAACCCACCCCCACGCTTACGCTTTCCTCGGCGAGAATACCACATTGAGCGGAGCAACGGTCAGCGTACCCGTATCCTTGTTGCCCTCCAGGAATATCTCCCCTGTCTGCCCCTGTGCATATCGCAAGTTGTACTTATGCACGATGGCGCTGGTCACAAATCGCGTCTCTAGGAGGCCGAGCTGTTTCCCGATACACACGTCGTGTCCTTGAGAGTGAAGTTAGCAAGGTCGCCGTTTAGCTCACTCGATGGGAAAGAGGCAGTCAGAAACTCACCTGTCGAGAATGGCACGTAGACTGAAGCGTTCTTGATGAACTCTGGCTGGTCGATCCATCGTTCTGGGATGAAGTCGTCTGGTCTTTCAAAGAACCTGGCGTCTATCATTTGGCAAGTTTATCAGTAACCCATCCACGTCCGTACTCCGAGACAAATCAAATTGCAACTTTTGCTGCTCAACTTTTGAGAGTGACTCACCTCTGTATTGTGTATACGAGGGCACAAAGACAATGGTGTCTCCAGGAAGCCAGACGTCGTCTACTTGAAGACCCTCTGGCGGCGTCATTCGCTGGACACCCGATGGCACAGGTGGATGCAGACGTAATGATTCATCGATGCAGGCTTGAAGATATCGTAGCTTTGAAAGGGCGGCATGTTCAGGCTTGTCATGTCCTCTGAAGTACCCATCGACTTCGTCTTGCAGTTTCCTGTACTCTTTCGGATGCCGGGCCAGCTCCATGAACAGGCATGACAGGACAGCTGCCACAGTGTCGCTAAATACCATCAAGGCGAGTCAATAATCCGTGGCCCGAGAAAATGGGATCACTTGCTGCGAGAGCATTACCTTCCAGCAACTGTAATTAAGATACAGTCTCCGTACAAATTAAGCATATCTTGGACGGAGCGTCCCTTCTTAGCTTCGTAGTCCTCCAACACCCACGTAAATATATCGGGGCTCTCGGGCTTATTCTGAATCCGCTGTTGCACCTGGCCCGAGATCCACGTCTTGAACTTCTTGACGCCAGCATTCCAAATCGCCATCTTGCGATAGAGCGGCAGAGCCCACATGGCGTGCGTAAAGCGCCCGACGGCCTTGGTCTCGTCGTGCAGCGAGTTCATGTAAAAGTGCGCGACGCCATCTTCAAGCATGCGGAACCCATGGCCCAAGGAGAACTCGCCCATGACATCAAAGCTGTAAAAGTTGAACCACAGGGATACGTTGAACTTGGAGCCTGCGCTGGCTTCGATGCCGGCGAGGAGTTGGTCGGTGTATTTGAGGACGCGGGGCTCGTAATCGCGAAGTGCTGCGTGGTGCCGTTCATCAGTCTCTGCTAGCATTGATATCGGTCACTTCTGCCAACGTCTCCATAATGACTTACATTTCGAGGTGAAGCCATATTCCCACGCCTTTCGTCGTCTAGAATGCGCCTCTTTATCGCGAACCATTTGCATTGAGACCATGGGATGAAGCAGATTATACCATGGTCCTTTCATACAATCCGTGTCCAGGAAGACGGCGTCGATGGCGCCGGGCTTGTTGATCGAGAGTTCGGTCGGGCCAATCCTCACCACATCGCCGTACTTCTCGTGTAGCTTTCGCACGTCCTCATGGAGGTGCATCCGGTTCCAGATCTTGAACGTGACGTAGAGATTTGTGAACTTGGCAAGAAAGGGGCCGGGAAATCCACGCAGGCGGTGGAATAGGCCTCGGTATACTAACATGCTCGTGTAGATGCCTGCCGTAAGTGAAGACAAGAGTATAGCACTAACTTTGGAGACTTGGGCCAAGCTGGTCGCTTCCAATGAGGTTCTAGAAACCATGGGGATCAAGGACGGCAACGCCATGGTGACCCCGACAGTTGCTGCATAGGCGAGTGTGAAGTTCGTGATGATGCGTTGTGCCGAGAGATCCCATTCGCCGGATTGGAAGACGGAAACATGGAGGATGATTCCGACGAGAAAGGAGAGCCCGCAGGCTTCTAGAGACTGAAGAACATCGATTGCGTGCATTGTGCAAGAACTTCGATTAGTCTGCTATGTATGTTGATCTTGGCCAGAGTTAACTGCTGGAGGCTTCGAGATACGTTCAAGTTGTGAGTTGACCGCGGCTTACCTTGGTTCATAAAACATTGCGAGATTCGCCTGAAGTTGATAGCATCAGTAACCTTAACCTAGCAGGTGCCGTGCTTCCCGCCGTACTTCCCCATCCTCGAGTAAACTCAAAACCTGCCGGCATATGACTAGTTCGACTAAAGCCGCGGGATTCGAAAAAAAAAAAAAAACCATCTCATATAGTAGCATCAACCTGTCACATAGAAGTCTGAACTGAAGCTCGTAGTTAGGGTGCTCTGTTTCGCCTGGAGTACCCAGTCCGAATACGGCTCCCGTTTTTTCTGCGTCATACGTAACGGAAATCCGCATGCCGACCTGCTAATCGGGGGTTCGGAGCTCCGGGGCAACTGCGGCTGTTAAACTTAGATGAGAGTTTCAACACCATGGTAGTTATAGTGCAAGTGAACATCATCTCCGCCAGGTAGATGTATTTAGGCGAGAACAAAATATTTAGAGGATTCCAGCCTTGCGACGCTCGTAGGCCGCCAAACACTGGTCCTGAAATACGATCACAGAGTCAAAACTTAACAATATGACGCCTCAATACACTTCTATCATGAAGTGCAAAACGTAAAGGTCCATCCAGGATTCGAACCTGGGCTTACGGAAGGGACTGATTTTCAATTGTGAATCAGAATCCGACGTCCTAACCAACTAGACTAATAGACCAATCGAACTGGGATTACTTTCTTGAGGCTCGCATGGCGACGAGACGATCATGTGGGCTTGAGGTGGGTGGTTGAAGCCCTCGTGTGGATACTAGACGCAAACGTTGGTCGCCCACGACCCGCAACTGACATCTTGGCTTCTGAGATGTGGGTTCAAGCTACGAAAGTCATCCGGAACTCGAGAATGATTGAAAAAGGAGATGTTGGGAGATTGAAGATGAACTTTGTCTTGAAAAATATGCCGAGGCTTTACAGAACTAATACAAATACAGAGTGAAGTCTCTACATGTATGTTTTCTTGGATGGCTCTTGTCAAGGCCAGAGTTTGGCCCGTCCTCCATCAATGATGCGCAATATCTCTGAAGCTCCTCGAGATGTGCCCTTTGGCGAACCAATAGCGAGGCCTCCCAGTCTGAACCTGAAGAAATTGAGATATGCGAACCCGGTATATGTAACTGGAACGTAACGTGCGCCTGTACAAATCCACCACAGAGCCACTTTGGCCGCCAAATCAGCAGACATGAAGCCGCGTCCCATTCTCGAGGTAAACGCTGCCGGAACTATGTGTCGATAATTGAAGAACTCGTCTCCATAGTATCTTTGGGCGTGCGGTACGAATGCGCGTTTCGATTGTGTGTAGCCCTCCATGTCTTTCGTCCATGCCCCATGAAATTCGGCCTCGCTACCAATGTACCAAACTTCTGGCAGTAATCCAAGTTTTCGCCGCTCGCAAAATTTCTTAAACAGTTCTATGATAGCAACATGGGACTCGCAATTTGCCTTGTGGGCATTGTCGTCGTTCTTGGATCCATGGGCGAGAATGAGTATATCGGTGTTTGCAAGGATAGACTCAAAGTAGGAATAGTCGCCGTACGTCCAGTCGACTCCAAATCTGGGGGTATGAATGCATCGAACACCTTGAAGGTGAAGCTTCTTCGTTAGGGCCTGGCCGAGGGCTCCCCTGGACCCCGTCATCGTTACGCGCCGGCCCCTGAGTGAGACCCCGGTACCGAGGAACCAGTCGAGCAGGCGCACCATTGACCCAAAGTAGGCAAGAGGTTCGATGTGGTGGAGGGCATGGTACTCAGGCCCAACAAAGAAGGTGGAAGGGTCTTTCGGAAGCCGCGGGTAAGGAATATGATTTGAATCGTTCCCAGAGTTCCATGCCACTACGGCTGCTCTACCAGCTTGGACTGAGAGTATGATGATCAGGTCATGGAACTGGGAAAGTGAAGCCTTGTGCACGAACAAAGGGCCGAGAAGCCAGCTCATTGTGCTCCCAATCATCTGACAAGACACCTCAAGTGATAGATGCCAGACAATATTTCGATGACGGAATCGCTCGTTGAATCTCAGATTACGATCAAAGTATTGATGGTGGATTGAATGAGCCTTGGCAAGTAGTCGTAGTATTCGGAAGCGAGATCTGTTGGACCGGTGGGCAATCCAGTGTATGATATCAAAGAAGATGGATCCAAAGACGAAGTGAAGAAGGCAAAGCGTTATCCGCAGTGGCAGGTCGGAGCCTGAGAGCGAGCTTTCGAGATTGAATGAGAACATGATAACGTCTTAAGAGTTCGACACTGAGATTGATTGTATTGGGGCATTGATGAATCTGGCTGATATATGGTGGGATGCTTCCATGGATTTATACTTCGTTTTCATTATTGCTCGAGGACTCCTGACTGCCGCTCCTGAAGCCTCCTTTGGTACGTGGACCACCTCTTGAGTCTTCATCACAACGGGGAGGCATTCTGCTCAATGATTTAGATGCATGCTTTAGGGGTAATTGCCACTTTTGACCAAAGAAAAGTACGCGACCTCGGGCGAATGCCAATTGAGATAGACCATATACTCCGCATCACTCCTGTGAGTACCTATTAGTGACTTCTTCATTGGGCTATCAAGCTCTGAAGCTTGCTGGCAATCTCTTAGGTATGGCATCCATGGTGTCTCAGTTCCCTTTTTTGGACTACACAAAGGCTGTGCTGCTGGAACTCGCCCACTTCCTCGTATTGCCATTCATGACATTTGCACTTATCTTGCTGCGGATAAGTTGTCTGCAGTTGGATTCGGGCTGATGATCTTGGGAACTAGGCGTCGCCAAGACGCCGCCGGAAGACGATTCTAGGCACCAGGAAAGTGCATTTGAGCGATGACGCGTCGCATGAATATTGAGATGAATTGGAAGCTATTACCAACTTGTATTGCCAGAACCTTACATAGTGGACATGGCAACCAAAGTTAGGACATCTTCGGAAGCTGGTATTACACGATGAAGCAGGCAACCAAGCACCCAGACTTCGTTACTTTAAGGTAGAAGAACCCCCAAGTAGTCACTCAATGGGTTTGATCAAATGCCGATTTTCTTAAAATATAGAGCATCACCGACATCTCTCCAAGGCTTTCTAGGTCGCTTGTGCGGTTCAGCAAGGGGCTGCCCTGGAGTGTCCCAAAGGTAGAAAGGGTCAAAAAGCGCCTTGTACTACCTGCAGCAAAGAGCATCCTGCCCAGTAAACGTCAATATATGGCTCATCTTGACGCAGGGGATCCATAAGATAAGATCCCGCGTTTTCAAGCTGCATGAAGCGAACATTGATACTCGGCGGACTTTTCACAACCCACGACATAACCTCATCCGCATTCAGGGGTCCAAGCGCACTGCCCGAGTGATGTCCACGAACATGCCTTCGGTCCATTGTCAACATTGCATCTTGTCTTTAAAAGGCAAGTGATAGAGGTAAAGAACTTTGAGCCCTAGATTACATGTATCATTCTCGGAGGCAGCCAGCTCAATATAGGGGTATCCTGTTTTGATGCTAGAGTGAAATTTTCTGTAATGCTGCTGCCTAACTGTCGTAGATGGCCGTGCCGCAACCAAAGGAATTCTAGGTCCACCTGCTCCACCACCAACAGCTAGCTGAGGCCGAGATATTCAGCTTGTAGCCGGTATGTGGAGAAAAATTATATGTCGAGGCGTACTGAATCAGAAGAGTGGGCGTGCCGGTAGGTTATCAAAGGCCCTCCCCCTAAGCCTCACCAACTCATGCGCTCGATTGCTACCAAGCGTCGTATGAAAACAAGGTTCATTCTTACTCTGATACTCACGACTAGCAAGTAAGAAACTTGGGCTGGGAATACTTGGTAGCTCTGTCCTCAAGTCTGAGTCGATGGCGTACCCCTGGCCCTTTGCTCCCATGGCTCCAACTCAATAACTTACCAGACCCGCTCATTTCAGCGGAGCTTTTCGACGTCAAGATCTGAATGTTGAATATTTATCTATTCTGTCTTTTTCCTAACGATTTATCTCATTTAACTTGCACAGACCCCGTGACAACTTCCTCGGGAGACTGACATGTTTTGGTGTTGAAGACAACTTGTTAACCCACGTCGTACAAATATCAGCCATCCTGTAAATCCAGTCATACTGGCGAGGTATTCTCGACTGTAGTCCTCCGATTACCAAGGGACTGGATATCTGGGAAGCCCTCATTTGTTTTCTTTCTTCTCTCGCCCATTTTGTCCTTCATATCATACCACCAGGAGAACAAGACAGCGAGCGGGTATCCCAAACACCTTATCATGATAACAAACGGCCACACGACTCTCTCCAGGACGTCGGCATTGACCAAAACGATCAGCGTGCCAGCTAGAGCAATAAGCCCTGTCTTGATCATAGAGTCTAGTGTCGCCGCCGAGGGTGCCTCGCTCATGCTAAAAATACTGGTAGCAAAACCAAGAGGGAGGAAAATCGCTGTGACATAGGTAAAAAGTCGGATACCGTTGTCTCCCCTAAATTCTAACTCGGTACGCATGTCTTCCAGCTTTTTCGAGAGCGACGAGTTGTAGGAGGCGATTTCATCTCTACACCTTTTTAGCTCCAGAAGCTTGTCATCGTTCAAATCATTCCACATGGAAACAGGCTTTGAAAACTTTCGCTCATCTTTTTCTGTCCATCTTGGGCGCTCCAGTCGTTTCTCCCGCTCCAGCCAGTCCTGGATTGTTGCCATGTTCTCGTCGAGATTCAGACAGATCGCCTCTAGAAGGTATCCGAGCTTGCGACACAGCTTATTCGCATCAAAGTAATTGTCGTTGTGGGATGCTTGTAACAATGTAATTGACTCTTCGAGGGTCGGGATATTGTGTCCGAGTGCAGTCTCCTTGCCTGTCTTGCCTGGGCGGAAAGCTTTGTTTACTTCCTCCTTCACTTGTTCCAGAACACTGTTGGAGCCTTTAATCATCTGCTCCAGACTTCTGTGAAACAAGATAAGTTCCAGAACCCTGCGTTGCCTCCACGCATCATGTTTGCAAATATCCTTCAACTTGTGTCTGACGTCAAAGTCTCGAAGTGTGAATAGAGGGTCGGGAATACGGCCAGACTTTTCTCTAGATGATAGTGCTTCGAGTTTGGACTTCCTGGTCGTGGCGGTTCCGCTAAAGGCATTGGGAGTCATTTCGTTGTTCTCTATACTTCCAAGAGGAGTAGGCCTCGAGGGATCATGCTCGAAGAAGTAACATGTCCAGTAACGGTCGAGAAAGTCGCCTTCAAATCTGAAGCTTGTGATGGCTCGCTGCACCCAAAGTTTAGAGGTCTTGCCTGAGCGCTTGGTGATTTTGTTGTCGGCGTAGCCGAATATTGGGAACGGTATCGCATCCTCTAGTGGCAAACAGTGTGCTTTCTGGCGGCTTATCTTTTCTTTGGGGCCTTTGTGAAGAGTCCAAAAAGACAGGTGCAGCTCAGTTGCCCAGAAATTGAAGATCTTTTCTGCGTTGTCGTACTGGTATATCTGATACCGGGCATGACGCTCGAAAAAGGGGGTCATTCCCCCGCCCTTAGGCAGTGCCAGATCACAAATCAGTGCTGTTGTTGATATGCTCTGGAAGGACTGCACAAGTCTCTTCTTGGAATTTTCCCTCGTGCGTGGAGCTTGAAGGTAAGCACGAAGGTCCTCGAGACTCTGTATAGGTGTTAAGATTTCTTTGGTGTCAGTCGTTGTTATGCTGGCCGCCAGTACGGTATTTGGCGCGCGTTTGTCTTGAGCATCCACGACTAACCCCAGCATTGGGGTGGATTTGAGGACATTTTGGACAGTTTCTCGTGTGATTGGAAGTCGAAGCTCTGTATGTAGTTCCGTCTGCATTCTTTCATCCAGGGAGTTGTCACTTTCTGTTGCTGAAAGGTGTCGGATTGCCTGGTGTCTTACATCAGCACTTGCCTTGTCAGCTGTTAATGACTTCCCGCCTCGTTCGTCTGCGCCATGCTTGTTCGCGAACTCAGCCAGTTGTTCACAACTGAGCTTTGGCGAAAAGTTGACAGATTTTGGTTCATCGTAGAGCCACTCATCGGTGAAGTCGGTAATGCGTTTCTGGCCAATATGGCTGCCAAATGGTAAGTTGCGTTCCATGATGAAAGGTTCGGCTCCTTCCGCTTCCTGAGAACGAAGACGGCGAGTGAGTTGCTCAATCAACCCAATCAGCTTCGCTTCTTCCAACATTGGCAACTGATCTGTCACGGCACTGGCTCTGGGTTGGGAGTCGGCCTGCTCGAACTCAGGGCAGGGGTACGTCCACAAGATGTAAGGGACCTCAAAGAGAGTTGACCAATAAAGGTCTTGCGCCTCTCCCTCGCAGAACGTGGTGGGCTCCTGACGCGAATCAAGTTTGCCTGCCATAAGCCCGTTCGGTGAAGATGTTTTCAGCAGAACTGCTTTCGCAATTTCGTACATTTTTGAAGGATCGATAGAGTTAACACGTTTCCCTTGGGAAGATAGCATCATTGCCAAGGCGAACTGGAGAGGATGTTCCCATTCATACACTTCGTTCTCCGAGCTGTATCTTTGACAATCCATCGTATTCTCCCATATGGATGAGGTTTTGAAGCCGTTATGTGCGAAGAGGTTCTGCTTCGCCGCGTGGAAGACTTTTGTGTCTTCGACTTCAAAAATGAACCCTACTTTCAACGCACTTCGAGACCGAGCGAACATCATCCTTCTTGAGATCGGATTCTCGGCGGTAAATCTTTTCAGGAAAATGCGTTGTAGCCTATCCGAGCCGAATAACGGCAGCGTTTGAGTCTTCTTCAACTTCTCTCGATAGTCAAATCTTAGCTGGGAGCCCAACTTAAGCTTCTCAGCTGACCTAACAGCCCACCAGATCATTGCATGATCTGCTAAGTAAAACGTCTTGAGCGAGTTCTGTTTTTCTTCCTCGCGGGGAAATGAATGCAGTCCATTGTGCTTCTTGCGGTGGAGGTTCTCTAGCCAAGATTCAACCATGACTTTGAAAGCATGGGTCGGCTCAAGAGCGTATGCCTCTGCACCAAATTCGACACAAAACTCGGAAAAAGCTTCGAATTTGAGGATGTGGAAGACGACTTCCATCTGAGGAGCCAGAGGTGACACTGCAACGCTCCGAGTCTCGATAGTCGATTTTCCGCTAGCCCAGAATCGACGATGCTTGTCATAATCATATGCAACACTCTTCCCCTTAACTTTTGGGTTGTGTCGACACCTTCCGTCGGTATCGTTCTCTTGACAGTGGTTCAACGCCAATGTTTCAGTCACCCACTTGGCATGTCCTCGACATACACGGAGAATTCGCCGGTAATATTCGCAGAGATTGTCGTTGCAAGCATGCGCGTTGTTAAGTATTAGCGAACTTCGGTCGCACCCGTAGTTCTGTTGTGTCCGATTCTTGAGGATTTGCTTGACTTCTCTCAAAGCTAGAAGAAGAAATCGGAAAGCATGGCTGGCTCCGATTAGTTTCAAATTTCCATCTATAGGGGAGAAAACCTACAAACTTGCTTCAGTGACAATCCTGTGACCTGCGATGTCCCCACAGGTGATTGCAATAGGAGGGTCTTCGTTTGAACACCCATACTCGCAGTAAACGGGCACGCTACAGACAGACAGAACATGTTCCACATTCCTCAAGAGTACGAAGTTCAGATGCCTGTCCTTCTTGAGCTGAAGAGTCTCGAATTGCTGGCCAAGTATATCATCTTTAGCCCTGAGGTCTGCTGGCGATATAGGTAGTGTCAGACTCGGGGAAAGTCTTTTCAATGTATACGCCAACGTGATTTCCACCTTTCCCTTATTGAAGGATTTCTTCAAAAACGTGTGATCGACCTTGATGATGATTTTGCCGCCGTTGCGACGCGGTAGACGAGGTAGCAGACAATTGCCTACAAACACGGTGATAGACAGGCCGATACCTTGTTCAATATCGTGATGTGAGTCTTTCGGATGGAATTCGACTTTGCCATTTCCTTCACAAGCATCGCACCAGTTCTCGAAGCTTGGGTCGTGAAAGTCAATCCCATCTTCAAGATCGTCATCAGACGAGATTTCGCCCGGGTAAGGTTCAAATGATTCTTCGGGCCTCGGGGGCGTTTGAGGTGAGTGGTGGCCAGCTGACTTAGTCTTGGAAGCGTCGGCGTCGACTATCCCATTGCTCAGATTCAGAAGTCGAATTTTGACGGGGATCTCCACATCTAGAGGTTGGTTCATGCCATTCTGCTTGTCAACCTCTAGCGTGTATACCTGGAATACGGTCTCTTTGCTGATAAAATACTGCACATCATGGCCAGTGGATGATTGAAAGCGTGGCCAGCGATTCTGAATAAAGGATATTTCTGGCAAATTATTGCCCAGAATCTCCCTATCTTGAAGACGGAGATGTACTCCATCATTAGGCCGAGCCGAAACAGAAGCAAGGCCATTTGCGTGCTGGGTAACACGACCCCGATAGCCGTCAGGGTCGTAATGGGTAAGTTCAGCGCGGATGAAGCCCGATGGGTTGTGAGAACTTTCTCCAATGTAGCGAGTGATTTGCATGAGATTGCCGTACGCGTTAGCAGTCGCTGTAATCCCTTCATGTCCAAAAGAAGCGTAAGTCTCGCGTTGGCGTGCCTCCATGTTAGCCTCAGTCGGGATGGCTAAGCCCTTGAAATAGCATTCATTAGCATGCACTACGTGTGAGCTGTCAATGTAGCTCGGGAGAGCGAGTACTCACCGTCAATTTAGCTGGGGAAGGAGAGCTGCAAAGAGGAATGAACTGAGCCATTTTGTAAGGGGAGGTCTTCTGCACTTGCTCACTGGCAACGACCGTGTTCGAATGGAAGAATGAATGGAGCTTGTGACAGATATGTCTGCACTATAAGCCGGCAATGGGGTTTATATCAAGAGAGTTAAAGTTTTCTCATTATCCCAACACTCTCACAAGACCTCATTTATGCGGAATCACTGCGGGCTTCGGAACTTTGACGCACGTAAGCAATAGTTAGAATACGCTGCAGCCGGCGGGTTGATCAAAGTCACCAAAGTGGCAATCAGCATTCTGGCTCCAGCTCTACAAGTAGGTCAGAGGAGCAGAGTCGAGACAGTTGAGACCAGTGGAGAACGGCCTGAACAGCTGGCGTTGCATATATTGGGCGAGCACACATGACGCTTCTGTAGCATGAGGCCAATGAATTGCAGTGATCCTGTTACGTTTACATTGAATTTTTGCTAGCAGTAACTCTGGCCTGCATAATATGACTATACTCCGCTTTGCATTCGAAGCTGAGTTGTAGTCGCAGGACTGGGCATGCAGGCGCGCTCTGCGAGGTAGCGTCAGGATGCAGTCATTGCAATAGAGACATGACGGTCCGACCTGCCCCCAAATCGGCACAATCTGACGATCCCCAACAGCTTGATTCCCCATATCGTTTATGGCTGCACCGAAGTAGAACGAATAGCTGTCTGTTTGACCGTGGTCCTCCGTCCACACTTCCTATTGCTACCCAACATACATGGCCAAGACCACAGCCCGCCTTCAATGGCATATTCACGCGGGAGCGAGCGGAATCCCGAGTTCTCCAATGGATATTGCCGTATATGAAGACACCATCAGACTTTTCTGTATATGGCGCCATTGTCTGTTGAACGTAAATGGTACAAAGGCTCCTGGGTAGCTAGATTCTATATATATAAAGATATCGAGTATACTAGCTACATTAATACATATATAGTGAATAGCTTAGTAAGTATATTAAAACGTCTTAGTTTTTTAAAACTAATTATTTAGTTTACTTTATTTTTAAAAAATATTATTTTTATAATTTATTTATAATTTAAAACTATTAATTTTATATATTGATTTTATAATAAATTTTATTTAGACTTTTTAAAATACTATTATAGCTGTTTAGTTATAATAAAATATGCTAATAAAAATTAAAGTTATAAGTATTAAGCCCCCTAACGGAGTCATCTACCGGGGCCGTATTATATATTACGTATAAAAGAAAACTAAGTATATTACGCTCTATACCTAATTATTAACTAAAATAGTAGTTAACTAACTCGACTATTATTTCCGTTTTATTAATAGTTCGTAACTTTTTATTATTTTTAACTATTTATAGGTCGACCTTTACTTATTTCAATATATATAAAACCTCTTAATACTAATCTATACAAATAGTTAGGTTTAATATAATCCGTTCTTTTTTATAAGCATTATAATTATTTAAAGGGGCTTATAAGAGCTATTTAAAATACTAACTTATTATTTTAATTTTATATACCTCCGGCTTATTTATTATAGTTATTATAACTAAGTTAGTATTAATATATTAAATTTTAATATTTATATTAATTTAGTTATTTATAGAATTTATAATATTACTTAGCTAAATTCCGTATTATTAAAAAGTATTTTATAACCTTTTAAATATACTTATATTAGCTATAATAATTATAATATTAAACTAACTAAGGGTACTTAGTTTAAAAAAGGTAGACCTATTAAGGGGCATCGTTAGCTTACTAATTACTAACTATATATTAAAAAATTAAGTTCTTATTAAAATAGTATTTTAATTAACTAACTTCTTAACTAGTTATTTAATTAGTTATTTAAGTAGTAGTTTATATATTAATAAATTTATTTAATAAATTTATTCAGTTTAAATAGAGAGTAGCTTTGAGTAATATTAAAAATAATAAGGATAATAAAATCTTTATAAGCTTTAATATAAAAAATAATAAATATTAGCTTATTTAGCCTTTTTTTAAGAAACCTCTATATCGCTATTAAAGTTTAGAATTTTTATAGTTAAGGAAGGCTATTTTTAATTATTATAGCTACTTATTATAGCTAATTATTATAGCTAACCTCTATTATTTACCTTTTTAACTAGACTTATTATTATTTAAAAGTTCTTATAAGATCTTAGGGTATGACCTGGCTTGTAATTATCGATATATAGTAAAGAGCGGACGGTATATTAAGGGTATTAGGAAGTTGGGCACTGCGTCATACGTAAGTCACTTTGACTCGTTGCCTGGCCCCTTAGAATCCTCCCGGTTAGCCTTTTAAGAATTCGCCGCGTTTTGGGGAGGTCTTGGCAATGGCGTCGCAGACGCGCCCAAGTCGTATTGCACCCGGATTACATGCATGGATAAAGAGACAACATGTGGGTCAGTACTTTTATGTTCCCTTCTAATAGGACGCGGCGTCAACGGCCTGGTTTTAGCTCGTGCAACTTCCAGTCGCCTATGCGCTCATTTTGCGAAATATGACAAACGCAAGACTAAGACCACCAATGATATTTAAATTACTTATCGTCTTTATTAAATAGGAAGTAGAGTGCGTAATGTCATCGAGCGCCCTGGATTATGTGTTACCTTGTTTCGTGGCCTACCTTAGAATTGCTGAGCAGCACATACGCTCTCGGAATTTTCTGAGACACATTATGCCATGCTAGTGAACTCATACAGAAGATAATGGACAAGATTTTGAACCCTAAACAGTTCAATGGACTGGACAGCAGTGAGAAGGACGATTAGAGCACTTCTTTTTTACGTACTAGTATAATACAATCTCCTAATAAAACGTTGCCTTTCCGATATAAGCAACCTTAGTTCATTATAACCTTTGCATTAAAGCTTAAATAATAAAAAAGAACGTATTAATATAATTCTTTTCACTACTTAAATAAAGAAATTCTAAGTTTTTTTTTAGATAATTATAATTACAAATATATATATTAATATAAAATATATATTTCTATATTAATTTTATATATTTCTTTATTAATTATGTATTATAGTTGTTATATATATAAAGATACAGACTAAGAATAATTTCTTTTAAAATAAAAAACTTATAAATAGATTATATAATTATAATTATTTAATTAAATAAGAAATAAACACTTATAAGTAAATAAATAAAATAATTATTAAATAAATAATTAAATAGTAATTAATTAAGTTAGTATAATATTTACTTCAAAATAAAGACTATATAATATATTAATTTAAAGCGGATTAAAGAGTAAAATCTTCATAATCTTTTCAATAGTTTTTTTCAATAATTAATTCAATACTCAATTTTATAATTACTTTTAATTATTCTTATTAAAATATCTTTTAACAAAATTATAATTAATTTTTAAAGCTATACGACTTATTATTTACAAGCTTATTCAAAGCTATTACGATTATAATACTATTTTATACTTAAGTCTTACCTTTAATTAATATACCTTATTACGACAAGCTAGCCGCAATACGTTTCTTATAGAATCGAGGCTTACGAGAAGAGGACCATGATAAGTTGATGAACTACCTATCGCTATTGGTCATGTTCGCATAGTTAGTGACGAAGTCTGTGGTGTGTAAGGCGCGTCAGGTGTATCGACAACTTGAAATATGAGTCCGCGGTTTTCAGTGTGCGGTGTTGGATCGCCCCTAAGGTGTAACCTAGCTTGAAGAGCATCCGGCGATAAGCGTCCTCACGAGGCCGACAATTAACCGAGGCGAACACCGGGCCGGGCCGATCGTCGCAATCCTCATAAATCATCGACATATTTCTCCGACATTGAGTCCAAAGATTACGACCAGCCGGCTTGCTTTTGTCCTGATTTGTGTATACATTAAGAGTGCTCGTTTCAACAAAAACTCGAAAATCAAGACGCCCCCGGGGTAGATCTGGGTTTGCGATGGTCGCTCCGGCGGACGGCAAGACATCGCCGCTACTCTCACTCGCTGCGGGAGGCATCGCCGGCGGTGTAGAAGCCGCCTGCACGTACCCATTTGAGTTCGCCAAGACGCGAGTACAGCTCTATGGGCACCAGAAAGGGACAAGGAACCCCTTCGCGATTGTTCTGCGCGTTGCGCGCGATGAGGGGTTGCCAGCGCTTTACAAGGGATGCAGCACGATGATCGTGGGGTCTATCGGGAAGGACGCGGTGAGGTTCGTCGCGTTCGACAGCATTCGCTCCGTATTCGAAGACAAGAAGACGCGTACGCTAGGACCCATGCAAAGTATCGCGTCAGGAATGGTAGCTGGGATCGTCAGCAGCACGATCATTGTCACACCGAGCGAGCGCATCAAGACAGCGCTCATCGACGATGCCAAGACAACGCGACGATTCACAGGTGCAGTGAATTGCATCAAAACTCTGACGCGAGAGCAGGGAGTTCTGAAGGCTCTTTGGCGCGGCTATATAACCACAACCCTGAAACAAATCGGCACCACGGGATTTCGCCTTGGCAGCTATAGTATCATCAAAGACTTCGAGCGTAGCAAGGGAATCAGCCCTGAGGGTCCGATCATGAGCTTTGCCAACGGCGCGCTTGCTGGCACAGTCACGACCGTAGCGACGCAACCCTTTGACACGATCAAGACAAAGGCTCAACAAGCCAAAGCCGTGGGCACAATGGAGTCATTTCGAGCGATCATGGCCGAGGATGGAGTAAAGGGCCTTTGGAGAGGGACAGTCATGCGACTAGGACGAACGGTTTTGGCCGGTGGCATTCTGTTCACGGCTAACGAGCAAGCTTTGAAGGGCCTGAAACTATTATTGGGAAAATAATGATGTAAATTGGGTACGAAACGAGGCGAACCTACGAGCAGACATAATTCGAGCTCAACAAGCTAGCTATCTAGATATAGACAAGACATAGATCTGCGATAGTAACGTGGTGCAGATAGAATCAAGCAGACTACTTGGTTACCAAATACCAACCCTGATCTTCCAAGGTTTGCGCAATTCTATCCCAAAGACCAGTCCG